TAGAGTGAGGTGCTGGGGGCCAAGGCTCACATGCAGCCTGGGCTCAGGTGGGGGCTTAAGTTGAGAGGCTCTGGGCAGTGTGTCCCCTGGCTCCTCCACCCTCGTGGCGCCGGGTGGGGCTGTCCCCTCAGAATCCTGCCCCTATTAGTCCGGAATGTGGGGGCGGAGGCACAGGTCAGGGCAGCTGGCTCTGTTTACCCGTGGCTTCCTGCCAGCCCTCGAGTGCGTGGCCTGGGAGGCTCTGGAATGTGAGTCCACTGTGGTCAGTCACCTGTGCCGCTGTGGGGGACACTGCCCACCGTGACCCTTGCTCGGCCCTGCCCCTAAGCCACACACTCTGCTATCTCTGGCCCGTTACAGCCCTTGGCCACCCAGGAGCAGCAGGCCCTGATGCCCCTCGATCTGGCCCAAGAGCCCAGAGCCCTGTGGAGCAACAGGGTCATGCTAGCCCCGTCCTGGCAGCTTGGCCCCGAGGAGCCCTGCCCACCAGGGTGGCTGTAGAGCTCTGAGGGGCCCCAGGGCCCAGGCCAGCCTGCGATGGCCCAGGCATCAGGAGCCATTTCCTCCCTTGTCCTGTTGGCCCCCAGCTCAACAGCTGGGCACCGGGAGAGGCTGAATCATAACCTGGAGATCCGGGTGCCTGTGTCCCTCCCGCCCTGAACTGCTGGCAGCTGTGTCCGGGTTGGGCTGACTGGGGCTGCGGTTTCCAGGAAGGACCCGGACAGCAGTGAGAGCTGCGATGTCCACAGCTGGCCCACTGGGCCTCAGTTTCCCCATCTGATGACTGGTGTAATGGGAGCCCCACCCATCTTTATGCAGGCCACTTGGCCCTGGCTTTGCTGCCCATGACACTGCCCACAGGAGCATCTGGTTCCCTGCAGTTAGCAGCTCTGCAGGGACCTCTGCACCATGCCCAGGAGTATCCTGTCCTTCAGAGGAGACCCTGCCTGGCCTTGCCCTGTGGGACTATGGCTGCAGGTCAGGCAGGGGCCATGGACAGGGCTGCCCTGTGGGAGGCCAAGGGTGACCACGCCACACCCCAAGTGGACACTGATGTCGCTAGTGTCTCGGGGTGGCAGAGCCCTGGGGTCCTACCTCAGCCACATCCTTGGGCCCCCTGGCTGAGAGGGAGCAGCCTCTTTTCAGGGCTGAAGTCCAGGGGCACCATCCAGCCTCGGCCTCCCCCACTACCTGAGGTGGCACAGGGAAGGTGGCCAGGTGAGCCCTGCTGCCCATCCTGGGGCTGGGGTAGAGAGGGGGTTGGTGGGAGCCTGTGCCACAGTGCTGAGGGCCCCCACTGGGCTCTTCTTGTCCCCTCCCAAGTTCGGGGTCCAGAGGAGGCTGAGAGGGAGGTCTAACAAGACCCCAACATGACCCTGCCCTTTCATGGCCTGCCCCGTGTCCCCGCCTCCCATCTGCTGTTCCTGCCCCTGCGTCCCTTTGCCTGCGGTTGGTGACCAGAATGCTACAGCCCCTCTCCACCTGCGTCTCCTGGATGATCAAGCCCACTGCCCGCCTTCCCGTGGCCCTCCTGGCCCGCCAAGGTTGAGGTGCAGGGCAGCATGGCCTTCGAGGGCCATGGTCTCCGAGCACCACTTCAGGGCCATGCATCCTCCTCCTCGGGTCCCTGTGCCGAGGCCACCTTCGGCCATGGCCACTTGCTGTGTCCCTGGAGCTGATTGCAGCCGAAAGCCAGGTTGTCACGATCTCCTGCATAGGTCAGATGAGCTGTAAAACCACATTTCTCGGACACGGTACTGATGAGCCCTCCTACAGGGCCCAGCCGGGGCTGCTGGCAGGGCCCCCGCCACGCGCCCACAGCTATTCAGGCCACGGTCTGTGCTTGGCCCTCTCCACCAGCTTGGTTTTCCCCTGTGGAGTGAAGGGGCTGAGATGTTAAGAGCTCTGCCAGCCGCAGCCTGTGTGGCCACGATCTCGCCGCACCCCTTGCAGCCACCTGGTGCCCTGCAGGGCTGTAGGCCGAGCCCTGTCACAGCTGTAGCCAGTGCTGGGGTCCCAGAGGGTGCTGGGACCCTGCAGTAAAGGGGGTTGGGGAGCGGGTGCTGTGGGGACCTGGCCCTGGAGAGCTTGTGCTCAAAGAGTGGACACACAGGGGGTCCAGCTGAGCAGGTAGGGCATCCTCGGAGCGCGCTGATGGTCTGCACTGAGTGGGCCTGGGGAGGATGGGTCACCTAGCGTCCCCGGGCCAGGTCGTGCAGCCCCCAGCCCACCATGTTGGGTCTGGGCTTGGGTTCAGTCCTGGGGGAGCCAGTGTGGCCTCCCTGGAAGCACAGGCAGCGCCAGCAGCTACTGGACACCCCGCCCGTGTCCCCTCGGCCCTGCTCTTCCTCCTCGCCCGCCAGCCCCACCCCCGGCATGGCCCGAGCGCACTGTTTATGGCTCTGGCCGGAGCCAAATAAGGCAGAGAGCGCCTGGGGCTGGGCGGGCTGGGGTGGTGGCGGGGCGGGGCCGGGACCCCTGGGCTGGCAGTGGTCATGGCTCCCCAGCCTTGTTTTCGGGGGAGCCAGGACCCTGCCAGGGGCAGAAGTAGCTGGGCAAGGCCTGCCCCTGCAGCTCCGTGCCCTCCTGTGACTGCTGGCTCCACAGCCACCCGGCTCCACGGCCACCCAGCTCTCGTCTGTCCTCGTTCTTTCTCAGCAACTCAAGTGGCCGTGCAAACACAGACACTGCAGAAAGGGAGATGTGAGGGGGCGAGGCACCTGCGGGAGGGGACCGACCCGCCGCACTGCCCGGCTTCTCACGGGCTCACCCTGGCTAGACCAGCGGGCTCCCATCCAGGACTGGGGCTGAGCAGAGCCCTGCGCCGCAGCCCCGGCCCTTTCTTGGTGTTTATTTTATTTTGAGACAGGATCTGCCTAAGCTGCCGAGGCTGGCCTGGAGCTTGGGACCCTCCTGCTTCAGCCTCCTGAGTAACCACAGTGACTGGCGTGCCCTGCTGCACCCTGCCTGTTTTTGCTTTAATTTTAGTTTTTACACAGAAGGAATCTTTCTTTGCTTCCTCTTGACCCGTGTTTCAGCCCAGAAGTAACTTTGCCCGTTGGCGGAGGGGGCCCAGTGACACTCCGTGACTGGGTCTGTGGGGACAGGACTGGCCCTGGCCTTGGTCTCCTGGACAGGGGTGGCCCAGGATTGGATCAGTGGTGGTGACTTGCGGGTGCCCACGCAGAGGGCTCGCCCACGGCCTCACACCACTGGCATAGGGCTGTCCTGCATGCGGGCTCTGGGGAGTGGACTTGGGCCCATCTTGCAGGTCCAGGCCTGCATTTCTCGGGAACCCATGGCAGGGCAGATGGTGCTGTGCGCCCCAAGCACTGTGGCCGTCGTGGGCCGGCAGAGCTGGGCTTCTGTGCGGAGCCATGGGCCTCAGGGAGCCGGAGCCCGGGCCTGAGCAGAACGAGGCCAGGACACAGATAGGACTTGGCTTTGGGGAGCAGCAGGAGGTCAAAGTAAGGTCTAGAGTGGGAAGAAGGGACCGCGTCTCCCTCGGGACAGGTGCCATGGCTGCTCCCAACGTGCACAGCGTGCTCGGGGCAGCTCACGGGGCCCTGGGGAGTCCTGTCCTGCTGCTCTGCCCAGTTGCCCTCTGCTGCCCTTGGCACTGGATGCTGGCCAGGCCTCTCCATTTCCCGTGTTTTGATTTTCCTGTTTCAGCGTCCATTAAAAACTGAGTGATACACATCAGAAGTGACCATCTCTGTACAGCACATTTACACTCCCCCTGGCTTCTCCCTGAACAAGTGGACATTAGCTTCTTTCAAATCAAGTGCCAACGAGCAGATCCTGAACCAGGCAGGGTGGCCCATGCCCGGAACTCTAGCACCCTGGGAGGCTGAGGCAGGAGGATGGAAAGTTCAAACCCAGCCTGGGCCAGTTAGCAGGACTCTGCCTCAAAGCTGAAAGGGACAGGAGTGTAGCCCAGTGCGAAGGCCCCAGGCCCAGTCCCCAGAGCCAAAGAGGGCATAAATGAAAACAAGGGGGAATTGGGAGGTACCCACCCCAGGGAAGAGCTGGGGCACAGGCACTGAGGGGCGGCCTGCACCGCCTTCCCAGCCGGGGAGCCAGGGCCCAGCCTGGAGTTCAAGCCTGTTCTGGTGCAAACAGAAAAGCAATCAGAGTCTGGGGTTTCATGGCCTTTTTTTCTAAAATGTATTGTTTTAGTAAATATGCTATAAAAACAGGCTAAAAAGGTGTTTGTGTTTCTGTTTTGTAGTACAGGGATTAACCCCAGGCCTCCTCACTGAGCTCATCCCCAGCCCTTTGTTATTTTTGTACTTTGAGACCGGATTTTACTAAGTCGATAAATTGCCTGGGCTGGGCTACAATTTGTGACCCTCCCTGAGTGCTGGGATGACAGGCATGCCCTACCACAGCTAAGCAAAGCTTTATCTTTAGAGCTCTGTTTAAATTAAGAATTTCCAGCCAGGTATGAGATGCTGCACCTCTGTCATCCCAGCACTCAGGAGGCTGAGGCAGGAGGATCACCAGAGTTCAAGGCCAACCGAGGCTACACAGTGAGTTCAAGACCAGTCTAGTTACTCCGCTTCTTTTTTTTTTTTTCTTTTTTAGTACCGGGAATCGAACTCACGACCGAAAGCTTGCAAGACAGGCGCTTATGTCACTAAGCTAAATCCCCAGACCCAATTACTCTGTTTCAAAAAAACCAAAGCAAATAAATACATGCAAATTCCATGCTCACCATGCCTTCTCCCGCAGCGGTCCCCTCTCGCCCTGCAGGGCGTGCGTCTTTGCCCACCTTTAGTGAATGGAAAACCCGACCCCTTCTCATCTGTTTCTGTCTGCCAGGTGTGGTGGTGCACTCCTGCGATCCCAGCTCCTGGGGGCTGAGGTGGGAGGCTTGCAATGTTCAAGATCAGCTTGAACTACATAACAAGACCCTGTCTCAAAACACAAAAAACCCAGCAACAGCAAAAAAGACTCCTTTTGATATAAAGACTAATGTACATCAGACTCTCAAAGGATTCTTGGGAAAAGCTTTTACTGCGACCCAGAATACTCCAGTTATGTTCTGTGTTGCTAACACTGGTTTCTGGTGCATATGCTTAGCCGTGCACTCGGACTCCGTCTCAGCGAGGTGAGAAGGGGCCTCTGTGTCTCCAGCCGGTCTAACTGTGCACACAGCTGGTGTTCAGCGTCCTTCCTGCCATGTCCATCGCAGCTTCTAAGCGCTGCTGTCCTGCAGGCTTGCGACCCAGACTGGGAGCTACTAGGAGACAAATAAAAGTGGGCGCTGTGCACAGTGACCGTGCGGAGGCGGCTGGTACGGTGTGCAGCAGGCACTGGGGACCTACGCGGCTGCGGCCCAGTGGGGTGGGCGGCCAGTGGCTGTGCGGTGGAGTGTAGGGCAGGGGTGGGCGGAATACACTGACCGCTGTTTCTGATGCCAAGAGAGTTGTTTCCTTGGTTCATCAGCAGAGCAGCCTTTGAAATACCTTGCCGCACCCCGTGAGCCCCTAAGTAGGGCACCGGGCCTGGCGAAGGGTTGCTGTCAGCTGCCAGGAAAACGCAAGCCGGCCCTGCAGCGTGGAACACGGGCATTTCCGTCTAGTGGGGAGGACTTTCTCTGATTTGGCCCTGGCCAGTCCTCAAGGACGAGCTTGGCATCGCTCGTGGTGGAAATCACATGTGCTTGGTTTTCGTTCTTGGAAGAAGCAGTGATTCTTTGTTGTCCTCAGATTTCCTGGCGATGGGAAGAGCAGGGGAGAGAAAGGCGCCTGCGAGGCCTCACCACGTCTGGCCTCCCGCCTGGCCTGGGCTCCACAGCGTTGCCCAGGAAGTCAGGACGCAAGCCTGTTTCCTCCTTGTGTGGGGCTGGGCCTGCCTTAGGCACCTTCTGGGGTTAGCTGCTTCAGGCCCTCGCTGCCCCTCCTGAAGGCCTCACTGCCCGGCCTTGTACCCCCTGTCTGGCATCTGGCTTTCCCTGAACGGTGTCCCTGGTCTCCCCTCTATCCTGGACCCTAGCCCCCCAGGGCAGCCCTGTGCTGGCGTCCTAGGTGGTCCAGCCACGCAGGGGACCTGTGCCCAGCCTCATGCTGAACCTTGATGTGGGCACCTTGCCTACCAGATGCCCCCGTGCAAGGGGGTGGGCTCCCCCAGACGCCCTCTGCTCTGTCCCCACTGGACTTGGGGGCTGCTCCTTGCAGAGGAGGAGGGGCCTGCACACCTTGGTCCCCAGCCTCATCCTTGTCTGGAAGCAGAGGTGTCAATCTCGGCCCTGGTGGGTGCCACCAAGTTCCCTGAGACAGGCCCTGAGGAGCCCCGCCTCTGACCGGCACAGGGCACCGTGCCTGCCCTCCCTCACCAGGGCCCAGGGTCAGGTCCCCCTGTGGAGTCTGCTTAGTGCTGCCCAGCCCTCCCAGTGTGGCCTGTGAGCGCCCCGGCTGGCTTCCTCCTTTCCTGACCCAGCTGGGAGCAGAAGCCAGCCCTGCCCCCGGTCATGCACCTGTCCTGGTGCTTTTGGTCTGCCCTGCTCGGGGTGGGTGCCGTGCCATCTCCGACTGCAGGGCAAGAATGGAGAGGGGCATTCGCCCTTCCTGCTGGCCAGCTGCTAGCCCAGACTCAGGAAAGGCTCTGTGCGGTCACAGCCGTGAAGCCCACAAGGACCACAGGCTCAGTCGCTTCTCCCACAGCTTTGTCCCCACCGACGCCAGCAGGGTCTCTTTCCTTTCTGCCAGGTGGTGGCCAGGGCCAAGGTGCAGCCTCCCCGCCACCTGCCTGTATCCCCCTGGCCATCCCTCTGCCCCTGTCCCTCAAAGTCCCAAGGATGGGTTTAGACCAGCATCTCCACCAGGCCAGTGTTGGGGCTGGAGCCGGGGTCCTAGCCATGAACCATCAGCCCTGGGCCCCTCAGGCTCTGTCTCCCATCTGGGACAAAGACCAGCCACTGTGCTCCTGCCCTGTGCTGGCTGCAGTCACCAGGCCCCGTGGCTGGCTTCCTGTCTCATCCTATACCCCGAGACTGCTGACAGGGGTCCCGGTGACCGGTGTGGAGCTGGGCCCGGCTTCCCCATGTGCACCCTCAGGCTGGCATCCAGGGTTTTCTGGGCACTGCCCACTTGCCCAGCTTCAGCCTCCTTGCCAGTGGATGGCAGGAAGTGGAGTTCAGGAGGCTAGGCAGGGCCGGCCCAGTGCCCAGCCATCCCGGGACCCACCTGTTCCTGTCACACTGGAGCCCTGTGGGGCCCCACCCTCTGGGCCTCAGTTTCCTCATTGTGTGAACCGGGCGTGGCCCCCCTGCATGAGGGGAGGGTGGAATGAAGGGTGGGATTGGGGTACCAGTGATACCCCCAGGGGCCTGGCCCCCAACGATGAGCCCCCCAGGGCAGGGCAGTGCCCCACTCCTGCTCTGACAGACAGCTTTTGGGAAGCTCCTTGGCTCCTGGGTGGAGCAGGTGAGGGAAGAGGCCCCGGCTGCCCCCCAAATCTCACCCTTCTGTCCTTACCTGCACAGAGCTCAGGCGGGCCTCTGCCCACAGCTGCGAGCCCGGTTTCTGGAGCCCCTCACGGAGCTCCGGGGCTGCCGTCTGTCTGTCTGCACAGCCCCAGTTGCCCTTGGCTTTCATGTGTTTGCACTGCTGCGTGCCCCCTCACCGTCCGTGCCACTCCTGGTCCCTGTGACCTGCTTAGTGTCACGGGTTTCCCACGAGCACAGGCAGGGACCTGCAGCATTGGTCCTGGGGAAAAAGTCACTTGGACGGGTGGGCAGATGGACAGATGGGCATCACCTGGCCGGAGAACCCCTCGCCAGGCTGGCGAACGGGCCAGATGCTGGGCAGTGGGGACAGGCCTGGGATGGCCTGTGGCAGGCAGCACCAGCATCTGTCCTGCCTCTCGGGCTCAGCGGATAGATTTCTGTTCCGGAAAAGTAATTGCTGAGAACCTTCAGTGGATCGCCGTAGCCCACAGAGAAGCCTGGGGGGCAGGCGGGAGGCACTTCCTGGAGCAGTTAGGATGCTGTTCCTGAGCCAGGCGTCTGTCTGCACGGCACCCTGTGCTGCAGGCTTGTGCTGCTGCTGTGTCCCTCTGTCCCTAGAGAAAGTGGCCTGCCAGGCCCATTCAGAGTACACAGCTGGCCCTGGCCCTCCCTCCAGGGAGAATTTTGGGACCGATTTCTGTTCCTGAGCCTGGCCAGCTCACGTCAGGCCCATTGCAGGGCTGTGGTGCTCGCACCTGGGGTACGAAGGGGAGGACCACCTCTGGTCCAAGCCTCTCGGGGCAGAGAAGGCGGCACCACCTGTGCTGGACAGAGGCCGAGCCACAGGTCAGTGTCCAGGAGGGCAAGGAGTTCCAATGAGTGCTCCGCTGGCCACGCCCTCCCCACCCGGGGCCAGGCCGGCCCGGCTCCTGAGGCTGCTGTGCCTGGGGCCTGGAGGGCAGGGAAGTGGCAACACTCAGCACACAGCCTCCCCTGCACCTGGCATTGCTGCATGGGCCCCGTTCCCCTGGCATGAGGCTGGGTTGGTCATCTCGCTCCTGGGAGGGGACAGGCTGACCTGTGAGAGGCAGGCGGGGCTGCCACGCTGTGGCTCAGGAGCCTGGCCACCTGGCAGTCCTCGGCTAGCCCTGCAGGCCTGAGTGGCAGGGAGCCAGGCCCTGAGACGTGCGGACTGGGAAGAGCGGGGTCCGTATCCCAGGAAGGACAGGCACTGTGTGGCCGTGGCTCCTCGCTGTGGGAGCGCCTAGAGCCCGCAGGCTATGCGCTGGCAGGGAGTACATGGCCAGGCGTGTGGCACAGGCAGGGAGGGCTGAGGCCAAGGCCAGTCTGGGCTGCAGCAAGCTCAAGGCTGCTGTGGAAACCAGCAAGGCCTCTCTCAAAATGGTCAGAGAGAGAAAGCAAACAGTGAGTTAGGAGAATTGGGCCCGGCTCCCACCTCTGCTGTGTGCACTTTAGCCAGGTCACAGGGCCACAGTGGTGCCCAGCAACGGTGACGTGGACTCCCTGTCCATGGACCCCTCATGGGGCATGGGTGGCCTCGTGGGCCGGGAGGGGCGCGACCGGCCTGCACCCCTGGGCCACCGTGCTGAGCATCTGTCTCCCCGCAGCCTCCCTGGTGCGTGTGAATGCGCTCTCATTGGTCTACCTGTTGGTCCTGCTGCTCCTGCCCTGGCTGCCGGGCCCTGGGTGCAGCGGCACACGAGGTAAGGGGCGCAGGGTGGGGCGGGTGTGGTTCCTGGACGGGGCGGGGGTGCAGGGTACTCTGGGCAGGAGTGCTGACACGACTGGGTTCCTTTCCTGTCAGAGAAGTCGCTGTTTCCAAATCCTTTCTGCTGATCACTCGTCCCAGGGTGTGTGGTGACTCGAGGGGTAGTGGGGGGAGCCCCCAAATCCCTGTTGTCCCTTGGGAAGCACTGTGAGGGTGCAGGCCCAGGGTCCCACCCCGGCAGGGCTGCTCCTCTGTGTCCCAGACCCTGCTGGGGGGCTCAGCACCTGTGGGTTTGGGCTGGACTGGCTGCTGCCCTCCTTGGGCCTCCCTGGGGGGCAGGGTCCTGGTGGCTGGTCACGGCAGCAGGGACAGGACTTCTGCAGAGGACCGGGGTTCTGGTCACTGTGCTGTAGGTACCTAGGGTCTGTGTTGTGACTCTGGGCCAGGCGGGAGAGGTGGCAGTGGCAGGTACCCCAGCCAACCCTCCATCTGTCCGTCTGTCCTGCTTAGAGGCCCTTCAGGGACAGATACTGCTTGGTTTTTCCGGGTGGAGAGAGGAAAATGTGAGGCCGGCTGTGTGGGTGCTCGAGGGTTCCTGCCACGCAGCTGCTGGCCTTGGCAGCACCAGCGGAAGGTCTGATGGGGCTCGGCCGGCCCACATAGGCTGTGGCCTGACCCCCAGCTGCGGGGCAAGGGAGCCGGCATGAGCCCCCGATGGCTACTGGCCCGTGGGGCCAGCCCCGTGCTGCCCACTCATTTTCTAGGTGGAAGGAAGCCCCCTCCCACCTTCCTGCTCCCTGAGAGCCCCCCATGCTCTCACTGCCCCCACAGCCTGGCTGAATCCTGGGAAGCCCCCAGACCTCCAGGCCAGCCAAGGTGCCTGAGCACCCGGGGGACAGCCTGTGTCCCCGCTAGCCAGCCCTGCCCCTTAGCCACAGAGGTCTAGGAGACCCCGGGACCCCATGCTCCCCAGCCTCGGAGCTGTGCAGGGCTCACCCGAGTGGCACTGGGTGAGGCTCTGGCAGTGATTTGATTTAACCCCTCCCTGTCCGCTTCTTGCTCCAGACCTTCTCCAAGTGGGGGCTTCTGGGCTGTGGATGCCCCTTCCTCTGCTGGGGTGATGGGGCCCCCTGGCTGGCCACACCCACACCCAGGAGCCAGGCCCTACTTAATGATGTGTGAGCCCCTGAGCGTGGGCGCCGGCAGCCCAAGGAGTCGGGAGAGCAGGACAGGGCCATGAGGGTGGGGAAGGCTGGGGAGATACAGCCAGGAGAGGGGCAGACACCTTTGAGCCTCTATGGCTGAGTGGTGCATTCGGGGGACACAGGGGTAGCTACTCCACGGGGAGCAGGAGGTCCCCACATCAGCCGGCTTCCTGTTTGTGGCTCCTCCCTGATGAGCCCTCTCCTTTTGTCTTCCTTGGCCAGGAAAAGGCGTACTGCCTCTGGGGTGGGGCACAGACAGTCCCCTTCCCTGTGGACGGTCCCCTCCATGGACGGTCCTTCCCCTGTGGACAGCCTCCCATGGACAGTCCTCGTCCTTGTGGACAGTCTCCGTGTGGACTGTCCTCTACTCCCATGGATGGCCCCCTCCACAGTCCCCCAGGTAGTGAGCAGTGAGCCAAGGCCAGGGCCGAGAGGCCAGGTGGGGGCGGCTCAGAACAAAGGCTGCTGGGCGCGGTCCGCAGCGCTAGGCCAGCTCAGGGCTCAGAGTAACTGGGAGGCACCCAGCTGCATGGGCTCAGCTTGCATTCAGGGTGGCTGTAGGGAACGGAGGGGTCCTTGGGTGGCAGAAAGGCCGTTGCCTCCAGAGCCTCTTTCTCCCCATCAGGCCTAGGGCATCTCCACGGCCACCTGAGGGTCACTCAGCCAAGGGCCATGCTCTTCCCCTGCGGCCCACCATCCTCAGGTCGGCAGCTCCACCCCGGCTCCTTTCCCACCTGATGGGTCCACGGTGCTGGGCCTTATGGTCATGCTATCCCTGCCCCCTTTCCAGACCTCCCACCCTCCACAGTGAGGTCCACTTGTGCAGACACCTCTGCAGAACCACCAAGCTTGCTAGGTCCTTCCTGTGCCAGCACAGAGCTGCAGGGTAACCAGGTCCACTTGTCCTCCTGCAGAGGACCCTGCACCATGTAGGCTATGTGGCCAGCAGTGCCAGCAGAGTGTGGGGGAGGAGCAGGCAGCACCTACTTCTGCTAATGGCACCTCTGCCTGGCACCTGGCCAACTTCTGTCCAGCTCCTTGGGTGGGCACCAGCTTGCAGCCCTTGCCCCTTGGAGCAAGGAGGTTACCCACCAGGCCAGGTCCTGAAGTCGCAGTGCCCTGGGGCCAGGCCATTGTCACTTCAGAGCTAGGGCCCAGCCCAGGATGGGGCTGGCACCAGGGAGACCCCTGGCTGACTCTGCCCTGTGGCAGAGTGCGTGGTGGGTGTGTCCTGCCCCAGGGTCCACGGTCCTCATCCCTGGAGTCTGCTGGGCCATGGCCAAGTGTCCTGTGCCAAGTGAGCTGCCATTGTGCACGGGGCAGGGACGAGAGCACTGCACCACAGAGGCCTCCCTGATGTGTGGTGGGCCCAGTGCTGTGACTGGCGGGGGCCAATCGAGGCCACGGCACCCTGGGGGTGAGCTCAGATCTGGCCAGGCACAGCCACGTGGCCCTGTACTTTGGGGGCTGAATCCCAGCCCTCCCGCTCCAATCCCTGCCAAGTGAAGTGGGATGCAGCTCTGCCAGGTCGGGCTCTGTACTCCGCAGCTCAGGGCGCATCTCAGCCCACAGCCCTTCAGTGCTGCCCACCGCTTCCTGGTGAGACCAGGTCTTGTCCCCCAGGCGCCCCACAGGCCCTTGCTGCCAGCCCGCCACAGTGTGACTTCAGGTTCCTTCTCATGGGAGTTGGGGGAGGGGACAGAGCTCTGCTGCAGAGGTGTAAAGTCGCATTTCCAAGCCCAGCACCTTTTCCTCCTGTACTGGCCCAGCCTGGTGGGCAGGCCTTGCTGGCCCCTCATTGTGTGACCTCGGACCAGCTGCTGCTGTGCTCTGGCCACGTCTTGTGTTGGGGAGGCAGCCATGGCCCCAGGGCTGCAACAGGGTTGAGGGGAGTCTCAGCTCCCCTGCCTGCCCCAGCCCCACTGGGCCGGCCTCACCATGTACTTTGCAGCAGGGCACTCGATCCGGCTCCTGCGCGCCCTGCTGAGTCTCAGCCTGCTCTTCCTGGTGGCGCACCTGGCCTTCCAGATAGCCCTGCACACCGTGCCCAGCCTGGACCGGCTGCTGGGGCCCAACTGTGAGTTGCTGGGGGTGGGCAGGAAAACGGGGCGCTGGAGAGCTGGCCTGGGGTGGGGAGCGTCCGCAGCAGACCTGGACCCCGGGAGGGCCGGCCCCACTCAGGCACTGCCCAACAGGAGCTGTCCCCAGCCAGGATTTATGTCCAGCCCTGGCGGCCCTGAGGACATCTTCCGGGAATGATTTGGCGGCGACAGGCTGGGCTGGGCAGCGCCAGCCTGGGAGCAGCCAGGTCTTCTCGGTGTCCCCCAGCCTGTACCATCCTCCCTGTTGGGGCTCAGCCACACAGCAAGGTGGCACCTGGGGCTCTGGGTGCCCCGTGCCTGTTCACTGGCAGAGTCTAGCTGGTACCTGTGGCCCCAGCTGGGACAGGAACCTGTCCGCCGTCCATCACCCAGAGGGGGTCACTCTGAGCCCTCCTGTTCATCCTGTGATGTTCTCCTGGTATTTTGGGATGAGGCTGGTAGAGCAGGGCACGTCATGGCACTGGCCAGCCAGGGCCAAGGCTGCTGTCCAGAGATACTATCTGGCTGCAGGCCACACTGCCAGGCCAGTGGGCTCAGGCCTCAGTTTCCCTGTCAGTAGAAGCAGCCTTTTCAAACGCTCCTCGATGGTCCTAGGGCTTGCACCCCAAGGCTGCCTGCTGTGTAACCCTCCTGACGGTCCCCTGCTCTGTCTGCAGGCAGCCTCTGGGAGAAGGTCTCTCGATACATCGGGGTTACGAGGTAAGACCCCACCCAGCCCCGTCCTCCGCCGATGGCCCTGTACCATGCTGACCGTGCCTCCCTGACCCCTGCAGGTTGGACCTGAAGGACATCCCCAATGCCATCCGGCTGGTGGCCCCTGACCTGGGCGTCCTGGTGGTATCGTCCATCTGCCTCGGCCTGTGCAGGCGCCGCAGGAGGCATGCGAGGGAGCAACTGGTGAGGGGCACCCACCGGGGACAGTGCCAGGGCAGACTGTGTAGTTTATTACACACGGGAGGAGAGAGGTCAGGGGCTCTTCCTGAGCCTGTCCGAGTGAGAACCTGGCTGGTGGCTTTGAGGCCCTGCACTGGGTGGACTGGGCAGAGCTGCAGGACGTGCTGCATGGCTGGGCCTGTGGACAGCCTGAGAGACCTGGGGGGACCGTGCTCCAAGGGAGCCCCAAGCAGCCGGGGCCTGCTGCCCGCCAGCTCCTGTGAGGCCCCTGTGCCCCACCACTCCAGGCCCAAAGTCCAGCCTCCTCACCCACACCCAGCCTGGTCTCTGCTAAGAGCCAGGTCCCAGGGCTCAGTAGGATTTATGACACCCAGGTGTCCTGGCACACACACTCCCTGCCCGATGGTGCTGGGCTGCAACCCCAGTGCCCATTCGTCAGCAGCTGGCACCTGCTGGGCACAGGGCCCTGGCTTCCAGAGGAGCCCGGAGAGGGAAGGGACTTGTGTGGCCACGCAGCAGGCTGCCTTGTCTCTCCCAGCTGCCCAGGTGGCCCACAGCTCTCCCTGTCTGCAGGCTGGGCAGGTGAGCTCCACCTGGCCACCCAGCTCCCAAGCCCTGTGCCCAAGGCTGGAGCTCTTCCTGCTCAAACTCCAGTCTGATAGAACCACCCTGGGTCCTGGAGCAGGGGCTAGGCTACTCCCACTCTGTGTGGCCCTAGAGGGGTGGGCTTGACCCGCTGTCCTGCTTACCTGGTCCAGCCTCCCACCCCGTCTGTGGGCTCAGGCCCTCAGCCCCTCCGGGGGCCTCCCAGCCCCCTCAGCCCTCAGCCTGTCTGGCCCACCTTTCCCATCCACGACCAAGTGAGTCTTCCCAGCCAGGGCACAGGCTCAGAGAGGTTACAGGACTGGCCTACTGCTGCACAGCACCAGACCGTGGGAGCTGGGATAGGGCCAGCCTTGGCCTCAACGCCCGAGTTCTCAGCCTGGCATGGAGTGCCACCTCAGCTGTTTGCGGAGACACAGCTGGGCACGCAGGCTGCCAGCAACTGGCCAGAGCTGGGGCCTCTGACGACAATCTGTGTTCTTTCCACCACGCCCTGGCTTCCTGGGGCCTGGGAAAAGCCCCGTTCCGGGAAGCCTTGTTCAGGGCCAGGGAAGCAGGTCCCTAGCCCTAGGCAGGGACTCCGCCATTCTGTTCTCCTGCAGGCTGGCTCCATGGGGTGGGGAAGGGCAGGCCCCAGGGGACCTGTGCCTGCCATTTGCTGGGTCCCTTCACTCTCCAGAGATGCCCAGATTCGAGGGCCTTGCCACCCCCACCCAGCATGTGTGGTCTGAGTGCCCCTGAGCTCAGACAGCCCCTAGGGGGGCACCCACAGCCAGCCTGCACAGCAGAGTCAGGGCCCCTTGTGCCCAAGTGGGGGGCAGCGGGCTTGGGAAAGAGGGAGGGGCCCAGGTGGTGGGGTTGGAGCCTGACCTGGACCCCGTCTGCCCTCAGCAGGATGGCGAGGAGAGGGAGGTGGACACTGGCACCCCACCAGGGCTGCAGGGCGTCTCCGAGATGGCCCCCAAGCCCAGGACCTGGCTGACTTCCCGGTTCCGGGTCGCGGCCCACTGGCTGCTGGTGGCCGCGGGGCGGGCCCTGGCTGTCCTGCTGCTCGCACTGGCAGGTACCTTGGGTGGGGAGGAACCTGGGTGCTGACCACTGTGCAGAGAGGACAGTACTCAGAACTACCCAGTGACCAGGTGTGACCCGGGGCCCCTCTGCCCCGCAGGCATTGCCCACCCCTCGGCCTTCTCCAGTGTCTACCTGCTGGTCTTCCTGGGCATCTGCACCTGGTGGGCCTGCCACTTTCCCATTAGCCCCCTGGGCTTCAGTATCCTCTTTGTCACGGTGGGCTGCTTTGGTGCCTGCCACCTCATCTGCCTCTACTGCTACCAAACGTCCTTTGTCCAGGATGTGCTTCCGCCTGCCAGCATCTGGGCCAGGTGAGGGCTCCTGCACACCCTGGGCCTGCCTGCCTGGTTAGGGCTTGTCTCTGAGCCTCTGGCAGGTGGTCGGTGACGGCTGTCTCCTGGCAGGGTGTTTGGCCTTAAGGACTTCGTGGGCCCCACCAACTGCTCCAGCCCCCACGTGCTGTTCCTCAACACCAGCCATGACTGGCCGGTGTACGTGAGCCCGGGGGTCCTGCTGCTGCTGTATTACACCTTCATCTCTCTCCTGAAGCTCCAGCAGCCCAGGCCTGTGGGCCAGGTAAGCCCAGCATCCTGAGCGCAGCCCTGGCAGCTAGCAGCGCTGGTCGCCCCAGGGGAGCCGGGCCAGGGCTGGTGTGGGGCTGAGCCCACTGGTCTGCCGTCCACAGAGAAAGGAAGTAGCCGGGGTGGACGAGGAACCTGAGCTGGAACTGGACCAGCTGGAGCAGAAGCCCCAGGGCCAAGACGGGGCCAGCTGGGATGGGGAGGCCACACAGGTGAGCGGGGCCAGGCCAGGCCAGGGAGGCCACACAGGTCCGCAGGCGAGCAGGGCCCGCACAGGCTCACTGTGTGTCTTCCACAGCACATGGTCCCCACAGTTGTGGGGCTGGACACTGAGGCCGAGAACTGCATCGTGCACGATCTGACCGGCCCGAGCCCCGTCCGGCAGCGTCCCTGTGAGTAGCAAGTTACTAAGGCACACCTCTCCCCCTGACTCCCAGGGCCGTGGGCAAGGCCAAGGCTGCCCCCTGGTGGCCACAGGCTCCTTACCAGTGGCCTCCTATAGGCCAGGTGGAGTTGATCCCGACTGGAGGGTGTCCAGGGCTCCCTGCCCCTGCCCACCTTGGCTGGGAAATGACTGCAGGTGGCGGGCTGTAGGAGGCCACTGTCTTCCTGGGCATTCCACACAGGCGGTGGCTCTGTTCTTTGGCTTCTTTCTTCACTCTGAGGCCTGGTCAGTTATACAACGTCCAAGAGGCGCAACTGGAAGAGGCCAGGGTCACACATCCTGTCCTTAGGGGACTGAGGGCCAAGGCCAGGGTCACAACAGGTCAGGATGGGTCTGCTCCTGTTCCTGTTCCTGCTCCCACCTGCTGCCTGTGCCTCAGCGGGTGGGGAGGGACTCCAGGTGTCCCCCGGGAGCTGACCACTGCCCCACCCCCAGCACGTTCCAGGCCAGCTGAGCTGAGAGAGACGTCACCGCTGTACAGCCTGGGGCACCTCATCATGGACCAGAGCTACGTGTGTGCCCTCATTGCCATGATGGTGAGGCGCGGTGGGGCTAGGCCAGGTGTGGGGAGGGGTGGCCACCTCTGTTTCCCCATCTCGGCCTCTGTAGGAGGCCTCAGCCCCAGGGCTCTGTGCACACCAGAGCACACATGTGTTCATGCGTGTGCCGCCATGTGCTGTGCACAGACCCTGCCTCCTAGAGGCTGTGCGGCCCACCAGCCACCACCCCAGCGCCTTCCCCGCCCGCCACACAGGTGTGGAGCATCACATACCACAGCTGGCTGACCTTCGTGCTGCTGCTGTGGGCCTGCCTCATCTGGACGGTGCGCAGCCGCCACCAGCTGGCCATCCTGTGCGCGCCCTGCATCCTGCTCTACGGGCTGGCACTCTGCTGCCTGCGCTACGTGTGGGCCATGGACCTGCAGCCTGAGCTGCCCACCACCCTGGGCCCCGTCAGCCTGCGCCAGCTGGGGCTGGAGCACACCCGATACCCCTGCCTGGACCTGGGCGCCATGGTGAGCCCCGTGCTGGGGGCGGAACTGCCTGACCACCACATCCCTTGTCCACCTGCTCGCCAGGCAGGGACTGCAGGAGGGGGAGCCATAGCTGCTGGTCTCGACGGGGAGCCCCCTCAGACCACACGGCCCAGTTCAGAGTTGGCTGACTGAGTGAGGGATGTGTCCCTGGCACTGTGTCCAGGTGTTCATGGCCTGCTCAGCCGGGCTATGCCACACCCCATGTGGCCCTTGGGCCTCCAGTGTCCCGGTGTGGGGAATGTGCCAAGGTCTGTGGGAGAGTGGGTTTCCCCGAGTCTCCTTGTGGATGTGAGCCCACGTGTGCCCTAGAGCGTGTGTGTGTGAACATGTGAGGCTGGTGTGTGAGAGACTGCCGGTGTGGGTGTACAGACACAGACCTGTGTCTGCGGGACACCTGGCGGTGTGGGCCGCCTGCCTCCTGGGCCGCTGACATCTGCACCCTGCAGCTGCTTTACATCCTGACCTTCTGGCTGCTGCTGCGTCGCTTTGTGAAGGAGAAGCTGCTGAGGAAGGCCCGGGCGCCTGCGGTGCTGCTAGAGGTGGCTGTGGCCGAAGCAGGTGAGTGGCGGGCAGAGACGGGAGACCCCGCTCCGGAGGCTTCGCCCTGCAACTGTGAACCCCTCTTGCCAGCCGCAGAGCCCACTCAGACGCAGACGCTGCTCCGGAGCCTGGGGGAGCTGGTCACCGGCATCTACGCCAAGTACTGGATCTACGTGTGCGCCGGCATGTTCATCGTGGTCAGCTTCGCTGGCCGCCTGGTGGTCTACAAGATCGTCTACATGTTCCTCTTTCTGCTCTGCCTCACGCTCTTCCAGGTGGGGGGCGGGGCTCTGCCTCAGGGGTGGGGCTAGGCGGGGCGCGGGGCGTGGCCCAGCGCCGTGGGTAGGGCTTGGGGCGGGGCTCACCCATCCGCCCGCACCTGCAGGTCTACTACAGCCTGTGGCGGAAGCTGCTTAAGGTGTTCTGGTGGTTCGTGGTGGCCTACACCATGCTGGTGCTCATCGCCGTCTACACCTTCCAGTTCCAAGACTTCCCCGCCTACTGGCGCAACCTCACAGGCTTCACAGACGAGCAGTGAGTGGGGAAGGCTGCCCTGGGCTTCCCCGTGCCCGCCCTGCCAGCTGCCAGGCCAGAGGGCGCTGACACCCTCCTCCTGCAGGCTGGGCGACCTGGGCCTGGAGCAGTTCAGCGTGTCGGAGCTCTTCTCCAGCATCCTCATCCCCGGCTTCTTCCTGCTCGCCTGCATCCTGCAGCTGCACTACTTCCACCAGCCCTTCATGCAGCTCACCGACCTGGAGCACGTGCCCCCACCCAGCGCCTGGCGCCCTCGCTGGGCTCGCAGGTGTGGCCCACTCCCTGCTGGTGAACCGGGAGGGCTGCATCTGGCAGGGGTCTCCGCCGGGCCAAGGCCTCAGGCCTGGGGTGGCATGGGATGGGGCCAAGAGGGTCTGGCCTGGGCTGCAGCAAAAACAGGGTGGAGGGGACAGGGGGGACCAGATGGCGACTCTGAGTGACTTGGCTCTGCAGGCAGGACGCTGTGAGCGAGGCCCCACTGCTGCAGCAGCCGGAGGAGGAGGAGGAGGAAGAGGAAGAGGAGGCGCCCTCCAGGGAAGAGGAGCATAGCACTGACGGCCTCTGCCAGGCCACCCAGGTCCCTGAAGGTGAGGGGGTGTGGCGTGGGCCCCACACAGGTCAGAGAGAGGCAGGGCCTGAGATGCTGAGACCCCTCCTCACCAAACCCCACCGCATGCAGCCAGCAAGTGGGGCCTTGTGGCCGAGCGGCTGCTGGACCTGGCTGCCAGCTTCTCGGACGTCCTCACCCGCGTGCAGGTGTTTGTACGCCGCCTGCTGGAGCTGCACATCTTTAAGCTGGTGGCTCTGTACACCGTGTGGGTGGCCCTGAAGGAGGTAAGCAGGCAGCCCGGCCACTTCCAAGCCTCATTCGTTGCTCTGAAGCAAGTGGCTCCTGCCCAGCATGGCACCGCCCGCCCCCACCAGCTGCTCTGGCCCGCAGGTGTCAGTGATGAACCTGCTGCTGGTGGTGCTGTGGGCCTTTGCCCTGCCCTACCCTCGCTTCCGGCCCATGGCCTCCTGCCTCTCCACCGTGTGGACCTGTATCATCATCGTGTGTAAGATGCTCTACCAGCTCAAGGTCGTCAACCCCCAGGACTACGCCAGCAACTGCACTGAGGTTCGGGCCCGGGCCTTCTCACCTGGGCTGCTGTGTCCGGGCTGGGTGCTTCTCAGGGACTCTGGTCCCACTGCAGGGCTCCCAGAGGCCCACAGGGAACGGGGCAGGAGAGCCACGCAGGCAGCCTCTGCCAGAGCTCTCTTCACTGGCCTCCTGCCCTGGACCTCCCTCCCGGCCCGTGCTGGGAAGGCTCCAGGACTGCCGGGCGCTGTGCGCGGGCTGGGCAGCTCCGGAACAGACTAGGGGTGGGATGGGGGTGTTCTCAGGGACTGGGCCCGGAGCCGATGCTGATGCCTGGCCCTGCCTCAGCCCCTCCCCAATAGCACCAACCTGCAGGCGGCAGAGATCCACCAGTCACTGCTGTACCGTGGCCCTGTGGACCCAGCCAACTGGTTCGGGGTGCGGAAAGGCTTCCCTAACCTGGGCTACATCCAGGTGAGTGGGGGCCAGGCAGGCAGTGTGGGTGGCCCCTGCCGGCTCCCACTGACCCTGACCCTCCCCACCCAGAACCACCTGCAGATCCTGCTGCTGCTGGTGTTCGAGGCCATGGTGTACCGGCGTCAGGAGCACTACCGCCGGCAGCACCAGCGCGCCCCGCTGCCTGCTCAAGCAGTGTGTGCCGAGGGGACCCGCCAGCGGCTCGACCAGGACCTGCTCAGCTGCCTCAAGTACTTCATCAACTTCTTCTTCTACAAATTCGGGCTGGAGGTAAGGCAGGGCCTGAGCTGGCTCAGGACACCTGGACAGTGGCCCATCCTCAGGCTGTGAGGCAGGGTGGGCAGATGGGCGCAGCAAGCCCGCCACAGTGCCCAGAACATGGGGGAGAAGCCCGTGTCTGAGGGTAGGGTTTCACTGCGTGGAGCCTGCCTTCTGAGGCTCGGTTCCCCGAGTGTGGTGAGACCCACTGGCCTCTGCTGCCTGCAGTGAGCCCAGGCAGGTGCACTGAGCCCCAGCCGTTGTCTGAGGCCCACTGAGGCTGGGGCTTGGGGCTGGGAGGTGCCTTCTCCCAGCCAGTCCGTGCCCACGCCCACCACCACTCCAGATCTGCTTCCTGATGGCCGTGAATGTGATTGGGCAGCGCATGAACTCCATGGTCATCCTGCATGGCTGCTGGCTGGTGGCCATCCTCACCCGCCGGCGCCGTGAGGCCATCGCCCGCCTCTGGCCCAACTACTGCCTCTTCCTCACACTCTTCCTGCTCTACCAGTACCTGCTGTGTCTGGGCATGCCCCCGGCCCTGTGCGTCGGTGAGTACCCATGTCTGCTGCGTGTGGTGTATTTGTCCTGTGTGCCACAGTACAGCGCCCATGTGCCGGTAGATGGGGTGCCCGCTGGGCGTGGCATGTCCCGGCCACACACTGTAGGCTGTGGCTGTGTATGCAGGTGCAGCTCAGCCTGGGTCCTCTGCCACTCACCCCCACAGACCCATCCCCATGCACCCAGTGCCCACGGCTGAGGGACACAGGGTACCCGGGCTGTGACTGGTCTCCCTTCTTTTCCTGTTTTGCCCAACATTCAGAGTTTCCTCCTTCAGAGTTTGACACGGACATGGCCGTGTGTTCTCTCTGCCCAGAAACTGGGAGAGGACCATCACCCTGATGTCACCCAGCACAGTCCCTGCCTGGGATCGGGCTCACCTGTCAGTGTGTCAGCACTGTAGACTATTGGGCAGCAGTGGGGATACTGGGGTGGCCATGGCTGTGACTGCCCAGCAGCCCTTGCTGTGGCTCTCCTGTGCAGCGGAGGGCTTCCATCACTCCCCTTCCGCCTTGCAAAGGTTTCTGTCACCGCAGAGCAGTGGGCTTCTGGCCCCTCCTCCTCTCAGTGTCTGAGGTCAGCTGGGGATCTCCACAAAGCCTCCCACATCTCTCCATGTTCTCTGGAGTTGGCCTATGGCTGGGGCTCACACAGGACACTCCCCTGTGGGTGCGGTTGGAGGGAGGACAAGTGCATGGGATCGCAGTGCCCTTGGCAGATCCAGGTGCCCAGAGAAGGGACCTGCTGGGCCAGGTGGTAGAGGATGGAGGCCGAGCTGGACCTGCAGACGCAGCTACGTGCTGCTGTTTGGGGCGTCTGGAGTGGATGTGGTGCAGTTGTCATCTCTGGAGATTGGTCCCTTTTGACATCTGCAGTCACCCCTCTGTGCCTTGGTTCTGATCCATGTATGCGAGGTGGTACTGGGTCTCTCCTGGCCGTCTGTCCTGGAGCAGAGCCCGCCCTTGTCCTCTAGATTGTCGTGTCTCCCCCATGTGGGTCACAGTCGGGCACACTGTGCTGTCCCCTGTCCCACCAAGGTCAGCGTCTTTTCACAGCTGGTGTCAGATTTCCGGACCCATCATGGTGGCATCTGCATGGCTCCCGTGCGGGGTGTGTGGGTTCTGTGTTTTCTCCGTGACCCTGCTGGGGGAGATGCCTTAAGCCTATGAAGTGTCTCACTCACCCTCCGGTCAGAGCCTTTCCTGCCAGCAGCAACTGTCAGCTCCTCTGTCCCCACGGCTGGCATCTGTCCTCCCCACTGCCTTCCTTCCAGAGCTGTCTGTCCCCGTGGACTTGGGATGTGCTCAAGACTTTGCCCCTCACGTCCCCTGGCCTCAGTCACTGGGACCTTGAGGCCTCCCTCCCTCCGGGCCTCCCTACCTCTGAGCCCGTAGAACAGCCCTGTTCTGTCCAGGGTGCATAGTGCAGGTGGCCCTGGAGAAGAGGAGCCTTTTCCCAAGCCGCTGGCCGCCCCTTCTGGAAGCCATTCCTGGAGCTGCATCCTTTGGGGTCACAGCGCACAGCCCCGCACCCTGGGAAGTGCACCTTCAGCAGTGAGCGCCTCTCAGGACAAGGTTCTGCAGGCGGCCACAGTGTGTCTGCACCCCACCCTGTCCTCCCAGGAGTCCCATCCCTTACTCGGTGTCCCACAGTGCGGCCGCCGGGCATCAGCCCATTTCGCCCATTTTCTCTTCCTAGAATGTGATGTGAGCAGAATTGCATGACTGGTTTTTTCACTCAGCAAAGTGTGTTTCAGGTTCCCCCTGGGCACAGTGGGGCACCCCTGTCACCCCAGCACTCTGTGAGGCTGAGGCAGGAAGATCACAAGTGTGAGCCCAGCCTGGGCAACACAGCAGCACAGTGATGCTGGGTCTGCAAGCTCAGAGGCAGGGCGAACACGGCTCCATGTGAAGGTCCGGGGTTCAACCCCAGGACTGGGGCCAGGGTTCCTCTGGTTAGAGTTGGAGCCTGTCGACTTCCTCGTTGCCAAGCGTCCCCATCTGTGGAAGTGTCAGAGCTGGCCTCCACACCACTGTCCTGGTTCAAGGACATCTGGGCTGTTTCCAGCCCTGGACTTCTGGGAACCATGGCCCATCCCCAACACGGCCTCCCGTGGGAAGCCTGCCTGCCCCCTCTGGCCAGTCACCAGGCTCCCCTGCTGCCTGCACCTGGCCTGCCGCGCATCTTCACTGGACAGTCCCAGTGGGCAGGATGGCTGCACTCCGGCTGCCAAAGCCCAGGACCGTGGTGCAAGTGGCTGTGATCGGAGGCCGTGGAGGGGAGAAGGGGAGAACCATTCCGGTGGACTCGGGCTCTCAGTGGGGGCTCCGCAGGCCTCTGGGGGCCAGCCAGGGCCCTTCCTGATGTAGCCCTGTCCCTGCAGACTACCCATGGCGCTGGAGCCGGGCCATCCCCATGAACTCTGCCCTCATCAAGTGGCTGTACCTGCCAGATTTCTTCAGGGCCCCCAACTCCACCAACCTCATCAGTGAGTGCTGCCCGGGGCACGTTTTCCGGACAAGGCAGGACACTTGTCTCCAGCCAGCCAGGGTGGGGGTCACACAGCACACCGGAGGGAGCCGGGGGCCAAGGGGCCCACCTGAGGCACAGGAATGTACTAACCCTAACCCTGTCACACCTGGATGCAGCAGTGGCCCTGTTGTGCAGTGACCCAGAGCGGCACAAATGCGAGTCCTCAGTGCTGGCAGGGGCTGCTGAAGCCACCTCCACACGTACTCCACGTGGCACACAGAGCCCCGGCGCCCCGCACGCCGGGGCCTGAGGCAGGGCAGTCCCAGCAGTGCCCTGCTTGGCCTGTGTCCTGCAGGTGACTTCCTCCTGCTGCTCTGCGCCTCCCAGCAGTGGCAGGTGTTCGCAGCTGAGCACACAGAGGAGTGGCAGCGCATGGCCGGCGTGAACACGGACTCCCTGGAGCCGCTGCGGGGTGAGCCCAACCCCGTGCCCAACTTCATCCACTGCAGGTGGGTCCCACGCCTCCCCACGGGGGGCTTCCGCCAGGGCCCAGCACCCCGGTGACCCTCTGCTCGCCCGCCTGCCGCCCCGCAGGTCCTACCTGGACATGGTGAAGGTGGCCGTGTTCCGCTACCTGTTCTGGCTGGTGCTGGTGGTGGTGTTTGTCACCGGCGCCACCCGCATCAGCGTCTTCGGGCTAGGCTACCTGCTGGCCTGCTTCTACCTGCTGCTCTTTGGCACGGCGCTGCTGCAGAAGGGCCCGCGGGCCCGCCTGGTGCTGTGGGACTGCCTCATCCTCTACAACGTCACGGTCATCATCTCCAAGAACATGCTCTCGGTGAGCGGCCAGGCCTCCTGCCACACCCCGCCCTGCCCCGCCCCGCCCTGGCAGCCGCCTCTGACTTCGGTCCCCCCCAGCTCCTGTCCTGCGTCTTCGTGGAGCAGATGCAGAGCAGCTTCTGCTGGGTCATCCAGCTCTTCAGCCTCGTGTGCACGGTCAAGGGCTACTATGACCGTGAGTGGGTGAGGCTGGTGGCCGGGGGTTCCTGGGGCTGCCGGGCTCCCACCTGACGGTCCCGTCCTGCAGCCAAAGCAATGATGGCCAAGGACCAGGACTGCCGCCTGCCGGTGGAGGAGGCCGGCATCATCTGGGACAGCGTCTGCTTCTTCTTCCTGCTGCTGCAGCGCCGCGTCTTCCTCAGCTACTACTTCCTGCACGTCAGCGCCGACCTGCAGGCCACAGCCCTGCAGGCCTCCAGGTCTGCCGCCCAGGACCTGGCACGAGAGGGCAGGGAGGTGCAGGGCCCCGGGACAGTGCTCAGGAAGGTGTTCCCGCCCCTGGTGGCCCAAGAGAGCCTCCAGCTGGAGGGTGGTGCCACAGGCCTCAGACGGGTCGCTCCTCTCACTACACAGTGTGGGGCCTGGGCGGCCGACGCCAGGGGTCCTGCGGGGAGCAGCGGGGAGGGGCGGGGCCAGTGAGCCTGGAGCTGACTCCAGTCCCACTGCTCCCCAGGGGCTTCGCCCTCTACAACGCGGCCAGTTTCAAGAGCATTGAAGCCCACCGCAAGGCAGAGGAGAAGTCCCTGTTGCAGCTGAAGAGACAGTAGGTACCCTGGGCAGGGTTCAGCTCGCAGTGGGCCTGGCCCGCGCTGATCCCCTCCCGTGCCCCACAGGATGATCCGTATCCGCACCAAGCAGGAGAAGTACCGGCAGAGTCGGGCCAGTCGCGGCCACCCCCAGGCCCTGGGCCCTGAGGACCCCAGCCAGGAGCCGGGTGAGTGTGGACGGCCCGGTCCAGGCACGCCTGAGCCACTGGAGCCTGCCTGCACTGTGCTGCGGGATGCCCCAGGCCTCCCGCCCGTCTGTCCCGTGCCGTGTGACACGGTCGCCCAGCCCCTCTGCTGTGTGGGCACCGTGATGTCTGTCTGTAGCTGTGGGCACTCTGCCCTGTCCCTCCAGGGCTAAGCCCTGTGGCACCTGTCACCAACCCCTGTCACTCACTGGAGGGCTGTGTCTTTCCAACTGCCTCTGCCAAGCGGCCCTAGTGCCCCGCACCCTTCCCACTCCAGCTACTCACGGCCGCCTCACGCGCCTGCCCCTCCACAGGGCCCGGCAGCCCCGGGGGCTCCTCCCTGCCACAAACACAGTGGTGGCGGCCCTGGCTGGACCATGCCACAGGTACCCTGCACCCCTGCTCGCTGCCTCCTTGTCCAGTCTGGTCTGGTCTCGTCCTGCTCTGGCCTGTGTCCTGTGCATGCACCGCTGTCCCCAGCCTGCCGAGCCCTGCACACATGACCCACGGGAAGAGGAGGCCAGGCCCTTGGGTGGTGGGAGGCTGAGCGGAGGCCCCAAGGGTGGGAGGGCTTCCTGAAGGTGGCCGGCTCACCCCTCGCTGTCTGCAGTCATCCACTCCGGTGACTACTTCCTGTTTGAGTCTGACAGCGAGGAGGAAGAGGAGGCGGTGCCTGAGGACTCCAGACCATCACCACAGAGCGCCTTCCAGGTGAGGCCCAGAGCATCCCATCCTCGGGCCACCCCAGCCTCGGGCAGTTGGGACCCTGGGCTGTGGACACTGGGGTCACCTCCGCTGCCACCTCCCAAGGTCCTGGCTCTGACCAGCCCAGGGTCTATGTTTTAGGTGGGGCCCAGGCTGTGTCCTGGGGCTAGGCGGACCTGCTTGTCTATCTTCAGAGTCCCGAGTGATAGGGACGCACGGGTAGCACATGTGCATCATGTCCTCCTGCCACAGCCCTGGAGCCCACTCCAGTGGAGGCAGAGTCCACAGCTGGACACAGCCGGGTCTGGCGTCACAACCTGCCAAGCGCAGCTTCTTCTTCCTCGGGAGGGAACCTGGAGACCCAGGGCTTATGTAGGTCCAGGTCAGAAGCCCAGGTCCTGAGCCCAGTGTTCGGCTGGCAGATGGCTTACCAGGCATGGGTGACCGATGCCCAGATGGTGCTGAGACAGCGGCGGGAGCAGGAGCGGGCACAGGTGCAGGCCCAGGCAGAGGGGGCAGGACAGCTGCTGACCGGTGAGTTGTGCTCCAGCGGGCTGCAGGGCCTCAGGGCCAAGAGACACTGACCAGTCCCCTATGCCCAGGCGGTGGCCCAGATCCAGAAGTGGAGCCCGGGGAAGCTACAGAACACGAGGACCAGGCGACAGGTGCAGGGGCTGGGGTGCAGGGAGCTGTAGGCCAGGCAAGGGGCCGTCCTGGGGCAGCCCCTCCAGACCTCCATCCCGCAGGCCACAGCCACGTGATGCAGCGCGTGCTGAACACTGTGCAGTTCCTCTGGGTGCTGGGCCAGGCCTCAGTGGACGGGCTGACCAGCTGGCTGCTGGCCTTCACGAGGCACCACCGCAACATGAGCAACGTGCTGCGGGCCGAGCGCTACCTGCTCACGCAGGAGCTCCTGCGGGTGAGCTGGCCTGGCCTGTGCCACCTCAGGCTCTGGACACAAGGGTACTGCCCCTGGCCTGCAACCTGAGAACCTGCTGTGTCCTGCAGGGCGGGGAGGGGCACCGAAGGGTGCTGGACCAGCTGTACGACGACGAGGCTGAGGCCACCCTGTCAGGCACCCTGGAGGCCCAAGACGGGCCCAGCACTGTGTCCAGGTAGGCACAGGCCCTCCCTGCCCGTTCTCGGTCCCAAAGCTGACCCTAAGCTCCTGTAGGGGCCACTGTCTGGGACAACACCATCTGGCTCCTCCACCCCTCGATATCTCTCCGAGGGACCCCTATCTTCCTCCAACCCTCCACAGAGGCCAAGGCTGGCCGCCTCTGACCCACTCCCGCTTCCCTCCCACAGTGGCCTGGGAGTCGAGGAGCCACTGAGCAGCATGACAGACACCAGCAGCCCCCTGAGCACGGGCTACAACACTCGCAGTGGCAGCGAGGAGCTGGTGGCTGACACCAGGGACCTCGAGACCGAGGCTTCGCTGCACGGCTCTCAGGAGCTTCCGGCCCGCCCGAGGATGCGCACGGCCAGTGAGCTGCTGAGCCGCAGGTGCAGCGCCGGCCTGAGCGTGGGCCCCGAGCCTGCCCTCCTTGTGGGGCCAGGGGCTGCGTATCCCACCATGGTCTCCCCGCAGGCGCCTGCGCATCCAGGAGCTGGAGGACGCCGAGAACTTCGCGGCCCAGCAGGGCCGAACGCTGCGGCTGCTGTGGGCCCTGTACCAGTGCGTGGCCGCACACTCGGAGCTGCTCTGCTACTTCACCATCATCCTCAACCACATGGTCACTGCCTCGGCCACCTCGCTGGTGCTGCCGGTGCTGGTCTTCCTGTGGGCCATGCTGTCCATCCCCAGGCCCAGCAAGCGCTTCTGGATGACAGCGATCGTCTTCACGGAGGTGTGAGGGCAGCCGGGCGGCTGGGAGGCTGGCCCGGGCCGGCCAAGGACCTCCCACAGGCCTCCATGCTCACCGCCCTCCCCTGCAGGTCACCGTGGTCACCAAGTACCTGTTCCAGTTCGGCTTCTTCCCCTGGAACAGCCACACGGTGCTGCGGCGCTACGAGAACAAGCCCTACTTCCCCCCGCGAATCCTGGGGCTGGAGAAGACGGACGGCTACATCAAGTACGACCTGGTGCAGCTCATGGCGCTCTTCTTCCACCGCTCCCAGCTGATGGTGAGCACCCTGCCGCGCCCGCCGCGCTGGGGAGGCTGGCCTGGTCCAGGGTGGGCGTGGCCTCTCATGCCCCGGCCTCTTGCAGTGCTACGGCCTCTGGGACCACGAGGACGAGGAGGACCAGCTCTCCCAGGAGCACCGAGGGAGCAGCGGGAAGGACTCGGGAGCCGAGGACCAGGCCGAGGCAGACACGGGGCAGCAGGAGGAGCCAGGAGTGGCCGGGGCCACCACCCAGGACCTCGTCCAGGTGGACACGAAGCGCAGGTCCAGGGATGGGGCCACAGAGCTCCAAGTGGACCTCAAGCCCCAGGACACGAGGCGCCTCAGCCTGCGTTTCAGAAGGAAGAAGGGGAGTCCAGGACCCAAGGGAGCGGTAGCCCTCGGTAAAAGGCTGGGCCACAACAGGCTGGGTGCGCCCCAGCCATGCTCTGGCAGGCAGAGGGGTGGGGGGACCAGGCTTCTGCAGCCCAGGCAGCACTCAGCTGTGGGCTCCTGGCTCCTGGGGGAAGGGCGAGCCCACCCCTGGCTTCACAGGGGCTGCGGGACCTGCCTCTCTTCCTCTGCGCCGAGGAGTGCAGGGTGGGGGAGAAGGCCTATGGGGTCACCATGCCGGCCCCCAAGGTGGTGAGCAGCCAGGCCAGGTGGCTCGGTCAGTAGTTTCTTCCCCCCAGGAGCTGCGGACGGGGAGGGAGAGGCAGCTGGGAGAAAGAGGCCCAGCCGCTGCCGAGAACGGATGAAGGCAGCAGGGCGCCGGCTGCAGGGCTTCTGCCTGTCGCTGTGAGAGACGGGGCCTGGGGTGGCCATGGCCAAGGCAGGGGAGGGGGCCCTGAGGCCAGGCACCCAGTGAGCCCGCCCGCCACCCTGCCCGCCCGCCCGCAGAGCCCAGAGCACTTACCGGCCCCTGCGGCGCTTCTTCCACGACATCTTACACACCAAATACCGTGCGGCCACGGACGTCTACGCGCTCATGTTCCTGGCTGACGTGGTCGACTTCATCATCATCATCTTTGGTTTCTGGGCCTTTGGGGTGAGCCAGGTTGGGGAGCCATGGTGTGCACAGTCCAGCTGCCACTGGGCCCAGCCCGCCTCCTGACCTGTGCTCTCTGGCTACAGAAGCACTCAGCGGCCACGGACATCACGTCCTCCCTGTCAGATAACCAGGTGCCAGAGGCCTTCCTGGTCATGCTGCTGATCCAGTTCAGCACCATGGTGGTCGACCGCGCCCTCTACCTGCGCAAGACTGTGCTGGGCAAGCTGGCCTTCCAGGTGGTGCTGGTGGTGGCCATCCATATCTGGATGTTCTTCATCCTGCCCGCTGTCACTGAGAGGTGGGCACCGGGGCCTTGGCTTGGTTTCCACCGTGCAGCCGGCCCATCTGTGCGTGGTGGAGCCAGGATCCGGGCTGGGCTGCTGCTGACCGTTGCATCCTGTCCCAGGATGTTCAGCCAGAACGCCGTGGCCCAGCTGTGGTACTTCGTGAAGTGCATCTACTTCGGCCTGTCTGCCTACCAGATCCGCTGTGGATACCCGACACGCATCCTTGGCAACTTCCTCACCAAGAAGTACAACCACCTGAACCTCTTCCTCTTCCAGGGGTGAGCGCAGTCCCCCGAGCTCTGCCTACACATTGCAGTGCGGTCGGAGGCCCTGACCACCCAGCTTTGCAGGTTCCGGCTGGTGCCCTTCCTGGTGGAGCTGCGAGCCGTCATGGACTGGGTGTGGACAGACACCACCCTGTCCCTGTCCAGCTGGATGTGTGTGGAGGACATCTACGCCAACATCTTCATCATCAAATGCAGCCGCGAGACGGAGAAGGTGCTGGGGTGGGGGCTCCCAGAGCTTACTGGACAGGTGACCTAGAGGAGGACGTGGATGTGGCCCCTGGGGGAGCAGGAGGAGAAAGTAGAGACTGGATGCTGTCGGCATTTTCCTTCCCCCACACAAAGCGCACACAGCCTCACTGCAGTCAGTGCAGTCCAGGACGGTTCCCTCTCCCCTGCCCAGCCTGGGCCACCTCTAGTCTCTGGGGTGCTATCACAGGTGTGTCATGAGACAGCCAGAGTCACACAGCACTTGTGCTTTGGTGGCCAGCTGCTCCCTCAAGGCAGCCGGGTGCTGCCCAGCTGTGCGCAGAAGTCTCTCCCCGCTGGGTTGCTCCTGTGTCATTCGTGGGATGCCCCCTAGGAGGGTAACGGCTGCTGAGGACCTGTTGCCCGGCAGTCACCTGCTGGCTGCACTCAGGACCAAACCCAGGGAGTACAGCTGCCCCACCCCATTCCCTCTGAGGCAGGGTAGCTAAGTGGCCAAAGCTGACCTTGCCCATGTTACCCTCCTGCCTCCGCCTCCCACACAGCGAAGCACATGCAGCTCTGCCCTCCCAGGCTGGGCCCACCTCCCCCAGCTGGCTGGTGCACGGTCCCTGGAGGGTCGTTTGCTTGGCCCCTTAGTGCTCTGCTGTAGGACTCGGCCTGCAGTTTGCACTTTTGACCGTCCCAGTGCTTCGGGGTGTACAGCCCAGTGCCGGCTGCTGGCTGCTGCTGGCCCTCAGTGAAGGGTCATCTCTAGGGTCAGCTAGCCCTGAAGGAGGGGTTGTCTCTGGGGCTTACAACCTGCATCCATCCTGCCATCCCGCCCACGGGAGGTGGCCACTGCACAGACCTGCACTGGCATCAGGTCAAGGCACAGCCGTGGTGCCTTTGAGAGCCAGGACAGTGACTTGAGTCTCCTCCCCCAGAAATACCCACAGCCCAAGGGGCAGAAAAAGAAGAAGATTGTGAAGTACGGCATGGGCGGCCTCATCATCCTCTTCCTCATCGCCATCATCTGGTTCCCGCTGCTCTTCATGTCCCTGGTGCGCTCTGTGGTTGGTGTCGTCAACCAGCCCATCGATGTCACTGTCACCCTCAAGCTGGGCGGCTACGAGGTGCGTGGCTCTGTCTGGGCTCCCCGTGGAGGCAGGGGTGGCGGGGTGTGAGATGCAGGCCGGCTGGGGGCTCCCGTACCCACTCACAGCATCCTGGCCCCAGCCCCTGTTCACCATGAGCGCCCAGCAGCCGTCCATCGAGCCCTTCACGCCCGAGACCTACGAGGTGCTGTCTCGGCAGTTCGACTCCTACCCGGTGCGTGGACCCTGTGGGCCCCAGTGGGGGCTGGCCGGGCGGGGGCCAGCTCCCCGCTGAGCATGCCCCGCCCCACCACAGCTGGCCATGCAGTTTATCAGCCAGTACAGCCCGGAGGACATCGTGACGGCGCAGATCGAGGGCAGCTCCGGGGCACTGTGGCGCATCAGCCCCCCAAGTCGCGCACAGATGAAGCGGGAGCTGTACAACGGCACGGCGGACATCACACTGCGCTTCACCTGGAACTTCCAGAGGTGGGTGCTGTGTGCGGGGCCCAGGTGCAGGCCCCACAGGGGCTCATGCTCTGCCACCCACCGCCCACCTGCAGGGATCTGGCCAAGGGCGGCACTGTGGAGTACACCAATGAGAAGCACACCCTGGAGCTGGCCCCCAATAGCACAGAGCGGCGGCAGCTGGCCCGCCTGCTGGAGGGCACCTCTGACCAGTCTGTGTAAGTGGGGCCAGGCGTGGTGGGGTGGTTGGGAGGTGCTGCCCAGACCTGACCTGCTCACCCTGCCCCACAGCATCATCTCCAACCTATTCCCCAAGTACATTCGTGCTCCCAACGGGCCTGAGGCCAGCCCCGTGAAGCAGCTGCAGCCCAGTGAGTGCAGGGGCTGGGGTGGGGACAAGCGCAGGCAGGGGTACTGCTCAGGGCTCTGACAGTCCTGCTCCGCCCCAGATGAGGAGGCCGACTACCTCGGGGTGCGCATCCAGCTGCGGAGGGAGCAGGTGGGCCCAGGGGCTGCTGGCTTCCTGGAGTGGTGGGTCATCGAGCTGCAGGACTGCCAGACCAACTGCAACCTGCTGCCCATGGTCATCTTCAGTGACAAGGTCAGCCCACCCAGCCTGGGCTTCCTGGCCGGCTACGGGTGAGTACAGGGCCAGGGACCCCCTGTCCCATGGGTGGCCCAGCCTCATCCGGCCTCACCACCCACCCTTCCGCAGCATCATGGGGCTCTATGTGTCCATCGTGCTGGTCATCGGCAAGTTTGTGCGTGGCTTCTTTGGCGAGATCTCACACTCCATCATGTTTGAGGAGCTGCCCTGTGTGGACCGCATCCTCAAGCTGTGCCAGGACATCTTCCTGGTGCGGGAGACGCGGGAGCTGGAACTGGAGGAGGAGCTGTACGCCAAGCTCATCTTCCTGTACCGCTCGCCAGAGACCATGATCAAGTGGACACGTGAGAAGGAGTAGAGCCTGGCTGCTTGGCACCGGGAATGAAGGAGCTGCCACAGGCAGCACAGCCACCAGCATAGGTGGCGCTCCGTGGGCCAGGGCTGTGGCTGCCACGTGTTCTCCCCGGCCCACCCAAACCCTGATGCTGCTGATGGAAGGCCACTGTGCTCCCCGTGGCCTCATGCACCCAGTGCAGCCACACTGGGCCTGGAACCCCAGCTCACCCTGCCTCACACGTACTGTAGAGTTTTCTAATTAAAATCTTTTTATTTATACAAACAATAAGCCTGAGCCAGCCCCACAGCCTTGCCTGCCACCCTGAGTGAAAAGCTGCCCGTGCCGCCCAAGCGTGTCCTGGCTCAGCTCTGAGTGGTCTCTGTCTCGGCGTCACTGTCCTCGATCAGATAATCCTGGATCTCCTGCATGACCCGGGCCCTGTGGGAAGTGTGTGTGGGAACCAGCCCTGGGGGCTCCCACCTGTGCGCCCGCCAAACAGGTCTTGTACCTCTGGCTGCGGAGCTGGGCCTCGGCCAGGATGTAGGGGGGCAAGGGGTCCAGGGAGGGCTGCAACAGAAGGTAGTGTGGGTAAGGGGCAGCAAAGCCCACACACAGGGTGTCCTGCTGCTGTCAGGAGGCAAGGGGCAGTCAGCCACTCACCAAGTCCTTCATGTTCCCCCGGCAGCTGTAGCACAGTTGCTGGATGACCTGGGTCTGACTGTCGTGTTCCCTGGGGAAACGGAGCCAGACCTGAGTGCCTGGCCTCTGGGCTCTGTCCTAAGTCAGCCCTGTCCCCAGTGGGGACTTACCTCCTGCAGGCCTTCCAACAGCAGCCCGGGGCCCTGCCTACAGCACAGCAGGGGGCAGTGCGGGTCCCAGCCTCAGCCTGCAGGGCAGATGGCGGCATCTGGGAGAGAGTTGAGGTCTGAGCCCCAAAAGCTGTAGCACTGTCTGCAAGCAGAGAGGGACTGAGGGGGACCGTGGGGTAGCTGAACCCCAGCATCCACCCCAGCACCCCAAGGTCTAGCACGAACCAGCAGCATCAATGTCCAGGATGCACAGGCAGAGAAGGCAGCGGGGGCCCTCGGGCTCCCCCGCACAGTCTTCCCTGGGTGCCTTAACCAGCTTCTCGCTCGTCCTGGGGGCAAGAAGCACAGATCACAGGGTGCCACCAGCGGGGCTCCGCCCCCTCCCAGTCCCTGTGCCCACCTACACACCTGTACACAGTGCTGACTGTGGAGGGGAACTGGGCCTGCAGCTGAAGGATAAAGGCCTCCATCAGCCGGTGGATGCTGGCTTTCTCAGGGGCCTGGAGGCGAAGGCAGAGCTGTAGGCGGGCACTAGACAGACATACCTGGCTTCCCACAGCAGCCAGTGTGCCAGCAGGGGTCGGCCTGGCCCTTCAAGGCACAGGTGTCCTCAGAGCACCCCACTGCCAATGCCATAGGTGGGAGGAAGGTACTGGGACATCGGGGGTGCTTGAGGAGGGGTCACAGTGAGTGCCTGGCTAGCGTGGACAGTTCAGTCCGACTGTGCTGGGGCCTCTGGCTCTGCGTAAGGGAGACCGCCTGCCTTCCCGTGCAGCTCATCCCAAGGGCCCACCTTCGTGTCCACAGCTGGCGTGAAGACTGAGGGGATAGCAAACAGGCGATTGTAGAAGGCCACCTCCTTCAGTGTATGGTCCCGCATGGGCCGCACCACCACCACGTCCCCATGCCGCTCGTCTGAGAAGCCCTGGGGGATGCAGCTATTGGCTGAGGTCCCAGCTGCACCCACCACCAAGCTGGGTTGGTCTCAGTCCCCCACCATGTGGAAGACCCCAGGATGACCCAATGACTGCCTTCTGGCAAAGGAGGCAAGTGGAGAGGGGCCTTGCATACCGTGTCCCAGGCAAGGAAGGCCCCGCGGCCCAGGGCCAGGTTGGTCATGAGCTTGATGGCCAGACGTGTGCAGCTGTCCCCAGTCATCACTTTGGAGTAGCCGTGGGCTCGGGCCACATGCAGGATTAGGTGGCTCCTGGGGTGCAGAAGCCACGTTGCAGAGGCTACCTGGGCTGGGGGGGCAAGCAGGGGCCAGAGTGCAGGGCGGGGCTCACCGCAGGGTCTGCAGAAGCTCCTCTTTGGCCGTCAGCGTCTGCACGGACTCAAACAGCCTGCACAGGGCCTCAGTCTGGGCGGCAGAGGGGGATGCGGCCGGGCTCGGAGGGCCATGAGGGTCCTGGCTCTGTGGCCAGGACTGCTCCTCGTCCCCCCGAGCCAGACTGTAGCTGTCCCCAGCTCCCTCGACCTGCAGCGTGTGCTGGTGCTGGAGGAAGCTGTCCACAGCCGCCTTATAGGCACCCTCTGTCCCGGCCAGCTCCTGGGGACAGCACCGCAGCACCGACGGTGGCAGGCCGAACACCTTTCGGGATGCAGGCAGTGAGGCCCAGGCCAGGCTCCAAGTGGCCCACGTCACATGCCCAGCCCTTTGCCAAGCGCAGGCCACCTACCTCTTCTAGGGATACTACGTGCCACGGGAAGCCGACAGTGTGCAGAACCTGCTTCACCTCAGCCAGGGTCTTTGCTCTGTCTTCCAGGCTCCGGCCACAGGCTGCACCTTCTGCAAAGCCCGGCAAAGGGGGTCAGGGGCTCAGCCCTGGAGTGGTGGCCGAGGGGCACTGCGGGGCAGTGGTTACTGGAAGCTGACAGCTGGGCAGAGTGGTGCACACCTATAACCCTAGTACTGCAGAAGGCTGAGGCAGGAGAACTACAATTTCCAGCCCACTCCAGATAACAACTTAGTAAAACCCTGTCTCAAAATGAAAAATTGAGAAAGAGGTAGGAATATAACTCAGTAAAAGGTCCTGGCTTCAATCCCCAGTCTACAAAACAAATAAAAGGCCGATGCAGACAATGGTGGGGGAGCGGTTTTGCTCCCCGGCGAAGCGATGGCAAACGTTTTGGAGACTGCATACCTAAGCTGCGGTCCAGACCCACTCCCTGACAGCAAAGTGCCAGCACTGCACTTAACTCTCAACACTGGGGCTTTAATTACCAAATACAACCGTTTCCTGATGCTGCTGGGTGACCTGGCTCACACCAACAGGGCTCCACGCATCCACTGTGCCACACATGCCACAGGTGGCTACAGATAACCCCCATACCCAGCCCTGGTCACTAGTCCTCCTCAGCCCCTGGACCTCATGGTGGGCCAAGTAGGACACAGTCCTACTCCCTGCAGTCATCTGAAGCTGAACTTGTACTGGCTCCCTTGGAAATGTTTACCACCAGGGCCTCAGTGTGAGGACCACACCAGTCGCAGACCCCTTCTATCCAGGAGGCTCAGTGGGGCCCACTACAAGTGACCAGGGCCTGGAAGAGGGGTGGCCACACGTACCATCCACATAGATGACCCCTGGCACGAAGCGCAGCCTCTTAGCAGAGTGTTGGCTCAGACCCTGGAGGGGACACACAGGGTGTTTTCAGCAGACCACGCCTCCAGACTTTGGTTCCTGGAAGTAGAGAGCTGCCCTCCTCTCAAAATAGACAGAGCCATTCTGACTTGAGGGCCAGGCAGCTCTGTGGGGAGACCGAGCAGCCCAACTTACTGAAGGGTGGCCATGGGTGACTCCACTCCTGCCAGGAAAGCAGTGTCCACCTCCCTGACCCGTCTACAGAACCTCAGAACCAGCCCTTGGGTTTATCTGACACCCCAGCACCTCGAACAAAGGAGCCACAGTGCCACCTGCTGGGCACTACTTAGAAGCACACTCAGAAGAACAGAGATGGGCCGTGCTGAGGAGCTGGTACATGGCCTGGGGTGAGCCTTAGCTTGGCCCCATGTGGGCATGTTTGGGGTCACTGGTTGGGGGAAAACCAGCCAGGAGTGGGACTCTCCCCTTAATTGGACAAAGCCATTCAGACTCAGGCTGGGCAGACCTTATTCATAAGGCTGGTACAAAATACCTCAATGGGCCAGCCCACCCCTTGTCCAGGTTGATCTTGGGCCACTAACACTCACCTCCAGTGCCTACAACCCACTCCCCCGCAGTGTGCACCCTCACAGGAAGTATGCAGGGAGCCCCCATGCCTACCCCATGCCGATATCCCTGAAATTTCCTAGTTCTCACGGAAAACGTCCCAGCACCTCCTGTGTCTGCAGCGTGAGGGCAATCCATCCCCACCCCTATGTATGAGTTGCCGTCCCCACAAGTCACCCTGTGCAGCTGATCTCTGCAGGGTGGGCAAGTGGATGGTGCTAACATGGGTACAGCTGGCACCCTGCTGGCTTGGAACCTGTGCACACACTAAGAGCCCTCTAGGGGTTCCAGTTGGGGTGTGTAGGAAGGGAGACCCCACTGCAGCTCTGCCCAGCAGCCTGTGCTCGGGTAGGTGTGAACGTACCTCAAGGACCTGCCAGACCATGGAGCTGGATGAGGGTCCACCAGACCATGCCAAGAGTACCTGGAGAAGAAACACCAGCAAGTGACACTTGCCTTCAGTGTGATCATGTCCTTCCCATGTGGACAGCCTGCCAGAAGAGTGAGCACAGGGCGGCCGGTGGGCTATACAACAGGCAGAAGGGAAAGAAGCAGGCGCCCAACCCCCCCACACACACACACACGGGTACCTTCTCGCCAGGAAAGATGAGCCGGTTCTTGCCTAGCATGGCTCTGAACTTGTGGATGTAGAAGGCCTTGAAACAGTCCCTGCAACACAGACACCAAGCTGGACCATCTTCACAGAGGCTCTGCCAAACTGGTAGGCTCCCCAAAAGCCACACTGCTCACAGGGTGCCCCAAGCCCTACCAGCTATGAGCACACAGGATGTGGGAGCTGCATCTCACATCCCACAGGTGCCACAGTGAAGGTGAGGCTGCCCTGGTCCCTGTTAGGAAAGGTGCCAACTGCTTGCTTGATGGCAGCAGCCAGGCAGCAGCACCACCCTTGGGGTCAGGAGAAAGTGCAGAGCAGGCTGCAGAGCTGGGCCTCCAGTCTGTCCTCCAAAGACTAGTGTGCCAGCCACCTGAGCAGAGATAGCCAGGAAGCTCAAGCAAACAGAGACCTGGGCTTCTGATACCACAGAATCGGAACTTCCAGCTAGACAACAGTCTCTTGCTTCCCAGTGTCTTTTTTTAAAAAATGTTTTAGAAACTAGAATGCAAAACTCGAGATCAACTTAAAAATGTGAGACTATCGCGAACTCAGCAAACACATACACTACATAAAGTAGCACATGGGGCCACTGGGAACTAGAGCTAAGGGAGCTATAAATCTAGTGAAAAAACCCAAATGTTAAGATGGTCATAACACAGCAGTGCAGTGCAGTTGTGTATGCCTGCAACACCAGCTACTAGAAAGACTAAGGCAAAAGGGTTCCAAGTTCAAGATTAGCCTGGACAACAGCTCAACAATTGGTGAGAACTTTGTCTCAGAAGTTTAAAAAACTGTGGTGGGGGGATATAATTTGGTTTGAAGGCTCTAGGTTCAATCACCAGTACCAGACACACACACACACACACACACACACACACACACACACACACACACATTATTACGCAAACAGAAGATGGTAAGGGCCACTAGAATTACAGATAAAATGGAATATCTTCCTGCCCTAGATCCTCTGGGAATAAGCCCTTGCTCTGTTCCAAAACGCTGGGACCTGGGGAAAGGCTGGAGCTCTGTCAAGCTTCTACACTCCACATTTATTTAAAAAAGGCATCTAAGCAGGGCATGGTGGTCCGTGCCTGTAATTCCAGCACTTGGGAGGCTGAGGTAGGAGACTACAAGTTCATGGCCAGCCTGAATTGTACAATGAAATCCTGTCTCAAAAAAACATTTTTTTTTTTTTAATTTGAAAAGGCATCTTCCACCCACAGTCCCTGTCTGAGCTTCCAAGACGCTGTGATCTGCCCCTGGATGCACCTCAGCTTTCCCCAGCCGCTGCCCCACTTCACGGCGCATTTTACCCGTTTGGTAAATCCCACTTCCATCTCTGCCCATAAACTGCCTTGTGGACCTTGCTGCTCTTGAATGGATCATGGAGACTTTAACCTCCCACCTCCCCTTCCGCAATACGTGATACGGCGTAATCGTCTCTGAAAACGAAATATCATCTGGAAAGTGGTGCCTCACCTGCAAAAGGCATCTCCAGCTCGGATCACCACCACCGGCTCGCCCTGCTTGCACTTCACACACTTCTGCCCACAGCTTTGGACATACAACAGGGGAGGGCGTAAGAACACAGGGAGCTGCTTTCCCACCCGGGGCGGCTTCGGGGAGATGGGAAGCTGAGGCCTGGGGTCCTGTTTCCCGCTCTAAGCTGAGCCAAAGGAAGGGTCCATGCCCTGTCCTAACTATCAATTTCAAGACAAGGCCCGGGGTGGGGACTGGGAAAGCCGTCTCTAGGCACAAGGGACCGTAAGCCTGTCTAGGACGTACAACTTCTGCGCCGCCCAAGGGTAGCGACAGGAGCGTGAGGACAGAACGGGGCCACCCTGAGCGCGCGGGGCAGATGGAAGCGTGGCCCCGCCCGGCTCAGAGCGCCGCGGGCTCCTACCCAAGCCTGGGTGCCGGCAGGGACTCCCGAGGCGGCGGCTCCGCGTAGTCCTCGCCCACCTGGCACATGGTCGAACCGGGTACGAAGCAGTAGCCGAGGCAGAGCTGGGGGGCGCGCCTTGATGACGTCAGTCCCCGACGCAGCGGTGACGTGAGGCAGGGGGCGGCCGCGCGTGACGTCGGCGAGACGCCGGCGTGGCCGTGACGCGGTGGGGGCGCGGCGCCGTCGCGGTGGTGACGCGCGGGCCGGGCCGGCCTGGACGGGGGGCGGCGGCGGTGGCCTGGCCCGGGATGGCGATGTTCCGCAGCCTGGTGGCTTCGGCGCATCAGCGGCAGCCGCCAGCCGGGCCCGCGGGCGGCGACAGCGGCCTGGAGGCGCAGTACAGTTGCCCCATCTGTCTGGAGGTGTACCACCGGCCGGTGGCCATCGGCAGCTGCGGCCACACGTGAGCGCACCCTCCGGGAGGCCGCGGGAGGGGGTTCCAGCCCGGTCCGAGGCCGCGGCTGCAACACGGGACGCGGGGGCGCGTACTTCGACCCCACGCCGCGCAGCGGTACGTTAGGCGCGGCCCAGCCCCGGCCGCCGTGGCGCGCAACCCGCCCCCCGGGCGCTCGGGACGATGGTCTTCGGCCCCGCGTACGTCCTCGGCGGGCTCGGAGCTCTGGGCTTCCGCCGTGACCGCGGCGCTGAACGCCCAGGACTGGTCGTGGGAACACTGGGCGGGCAGTTGTCAATAAATGACTTGTAGTTTTTGCTGTCAACTCTTTGTCGCCCCGCTGTCTGGTCGTTTCGACTACAGAGGAAAGGAGTTTCTTAAAGTTAGGAGAGGGGCGTGTTTGGAGCCCCGCGCTATTTTGTTTTGAAGGAGCGCTAGTCACTCTGAGCCCAAATGGGACTAGACACAACGCACGCTCTCTAGCGAGGATTGCTGGCTAAGCTGTTCCAGGAACAGAAATTTGAGGATGTGGTTCTCCCCGTGGGGATCCGTGCTCCAGTCCTCTGGAGCTCCAGCCTAGTTGGGAAGGAGCCAAGATCAGAGAGTCTGTTCCCAGACCTCTCCTAAATGCTGCACAACACAGTTCTGGAGCGGGACTGTGGGGCGGGGAAGAGAGCAGGAGGGCTCCCAGCAGATGGCCCTGCTGCTGAGGAGGTGGGGCTGTCGCTGGGCATGGAGGTTGGGCAAGGTGCACTCAGGCTGGTAGGAGGCTCTAGAACATTTTGCAAACAAAAGCAGCTGCCTTTGGAGGCTCCTCATGCGAAGGGAACTCGTACTGCCAGTGGGTGTGCGCCTGTCACTCATGCCTCCTCCCAGGGCAGGCAGGGAGGGTGGCAGGTCTGGGAGCTGCCTGTGCCTTCTCTGCTCCCTGTGTCAGGCAGCATGGGTGCTTGCTCACCCTAGGAGCCCTGCTGATCTTGTGAGGGTGATCTACTCAGTCTCATTCTGCTGTCACATTGGGCAGCCAGCCTTGACCAGGACTGACTTCTGTGATCACTCCCAAGTGGGTGTCTTATGGTGTGTTCTGCGTCTTGCAGCTGCTGTGAGGTTTGTCTGGCCTCATTTTAGAAGGTCTTCGTTGGCTTGGCCTGGTCACCAGTTGGCCACCACAACAGGTCATGGCATATTTGGTGTCTTAGTCTGCACAAGCCAGTCTTTACTCCTTCTTTTTCCCCCCAAATGTCTTTCTTCAAATGTGGTCTGCCTTACAGCACACAAGACTGGGGTTGAAAAGCATCTCTTCTTAAGCTCTTATCATAACATCTGCCTTGAAAAGATCTCCTGGCTTTTTCTGCTGGCCTTGTTTTTCTGGCTGTTCTTGACCTCCTCTGACTTCTTGCAGTCTCTGTCGCTAAGGCAGTGAGCGGATGAGCAGAAGAAGCTTGGAACTTCTCCCATCACCTTCAAAAAGTTCACTCACGGTCTGATTCTTTCCCTCCTTTGTGAGAGCGGGTTTCCTTGTGGTGAGGGCAGCCCTGTGCAGAGTAGGTGCTGCTGCTCCTGCGCAGGGCCAGAGTGAAGGATGTAGGGAGGTGTTCAAGCTCAAGCTTCGGGCCAGTGGCTGCTCCTAGAGCTGTGGAGAGGGGCTTTCAGGAGCTGCATTAGAGAGGGAGATGCTGCCTGTCACCCTTGGGGATCAGCCTGCACTAAGAGCCACGTGTGGATCCAGCAGTGAGGCTGCCCCAAAAGCCTTCCCAAGGGGCCTCTGGCAAGGACAGCTGCATGTCCTGACAGCACCTGCCTGCTGGTGTTGGCAATCTCTGAAACACTGACCTCCTCTAGCTCTCTGGTGAGTGTGGGAGCCCCAAGCAGGAGTGCCGCATTGATGGTGCTCTCAGGCCTGTGGTCCATCTTTGATGTCCTAAATTTCTGGGAGAAGGGCCAGTCCCACACCCACCACCTCACCTACTTCATCTGGCTGAGAAGCTGCTTAGCACCAGGCCCTGGGCGGACACAGGCAGGAGCCTCCATGGGAGAGGCTGGCCTTGGTGCGACTGCTGCTGCCACACAGCAATAGAGATCAAAGTAGGCCGGAAGCTGCACCCCCCCACGTGGATGCTTCCTTCTGTGCGCTGCTCCTGAGGGGCGAGGCTGGGGGACGGGCACCTTGTGGGCGAGCAGCTTCTTGAGCCACCCCTGTATTTTGCCAGCAGTGCCAGGCACCTAACTTCCATCCGTTCCATTCTTCTTCAGAGACCAGTCCTTCCCTGCGTTGCAAAGGACTCTTTTTCTTCTGCTGAGTGAAGCAGCCACACCTTGGCTGTGTGCTGACAGGCGTGTGCCTTCTGCCTGGCTTTTAACAGTGTCCCTGAGGTCGCATTCAGGGCCTCACTATTCATGTGTATACAGGGTAAAATGCAGTAGTTCCTGGGATGTTCACACAGTTACTGAGCCATCATTGTGATTCAGGACATTCACCACCCCAAAAGAAAAACTGGTCCTTTTCCCTTCCCCCCGAGAATCTCCTGTTAGGCTTAGGCTGTCTTCTTGCTGGATGCATGGCATTCTATAGAACTTGGCCTCCTGTGGCTTCCTGTACAGTGCTTGGCTCCTTCTCATGGCTGAAACATCCCCAGGTGACATTTCTCTGGGTTGTTGCCACATCTTGGTCATGTGGACCCACATGTGGTTTTCCTGTGGCTTCCCATGTGTGTCACCTCACTAGTGCCTTCCTCCACTAGTTCCTGGGTAGAGGAATGGCTCCTTAGGGTAACCAGACCCTAGACTGGTGACAGCGACATCCCAGAATATTGCTGGGGCACCTAGGGGTGGGCCGAGCTGCTGTGCAGAACAGCTCCAGGAATCTCTCCTGTCTTACAACAGACCTGGTCTCTCAGGGGCAGTTGGTGCAGTGTGACTGGCAGGTGACAAGCCAGATGGCCCCACCAGAGGCCAGCATATGGGAAGAGGAGGGGCCTAAGGTGGCCCAGCTTTGCCTGAAGTTCTGGGCCTTCTTTCCTCATCACAGAAAGGACTTCTCGAAGCGATGAGGTCTCAATTCAGAGGGAACTCTGACCCAGACAAAGCTGCATCTTCTGTAAACTCGGGCCGGGTCTTATGTCCTCTCCATCCAGCCAGGCTCCCGTCCCCCTGCAGGCCCATGGCTTTCCCAGCTGTGCCACCACTGACAAGGGTGCATCTGTCTCTGGGCTGGATGGCTTCCGGCTCCAGCCAGGTGCTCAGGCTGCGGTGCTGGCTCAGTGTCCCTGTGTTCAGGTACCTTGCATGCTGTGCAGTTCCCACAGCATTTCCTGTGCAGCTGCACCAGGCTTGTGCTGTGACCTGTTCGTCTTCCTTCCGCTGCTCCCACTGCTGCCCTGGGTCTGCAGAGAATTGGGCGGTGTGGCCTAGCTCCTACTGGAGGTCCAAATCTGCAAGGCTTGGGTATGGGCCCAACACAGGGTCCCAGACGATGGTGCCAGAAGCACAGGGCCTGCCGGAGCCTCGGCCCCAGTTGTGTGAGGACCTGAGGTGGCTCAGGCACAGCCCTTCTTGTCACTGAGCCGGGCTCAGCTGTGCGGGAGCACTTCCACCTGGGGAGCTGTCCATGGCCTGTGACTCGGGCCCAGCATGCCTGGCCTACACCTGCTGGTGATCTTCCTTCCTGTTCCCTGGCCTTCACATGCAGAAAGTACTGCCCGCACTAGCAAGGAGGAGCCTTGTGGGCCCTGTCTGGGGTGCTGGCCACAGGGCCAACCAATATGGGAGAGTGTCAGCCATGACTGGCTGCCATCTAGGACCCAGTGGGCCCTCTGTTGGGAGGGACTCCTGTCTGGTTCATCCAGCTCATGGGCTCAGGTACCGAGATATTGGAGGCTTGGCCCTGCTGGTGCCAGCCCTCAGGCCTCTGTCTCCTGCAGGTTCTGCGGGGAGTGCCTCCAGCCATGCCTGCAGGTGCCATCTCCCCTGTGCCCACTCTGCCGCCTGCCTTTTGACCCCAAGAAAGTGGACAAGGCCACCCATGTGGAGAAGCAGCTGTCATCCTACAAGGCGCCCTGCCGGGGCTGCAACAAGAAGGTACTGGCCACTTGGCATTCTGGGCAGGTGGGGACCCCATCCCACAGAAGACCAGGGACACGGCTGTGCTCTTCCTGGTAAGCAGTGCAGCTGCTCTGATGTGAGGAAGTCCGCGCCTGCCCTCCTGTCCTCTGTCCCTTTCCAGGGCAGCAGTGCTGGCCTGGGCTCTACACAACTTGCGGATGCAGGCTGGGTACTCAGGCTGCCCCACCTGTGGGGCTGTGAATGGAGGGGCTCCCGCAGGTGTTAGGCACCTCACCCTGGCCCATCGTCTTCCCAGCTGAAGCCGGAGGGGTGCTGTCATGGTCAGAGCCCATAGAGGCCCCACTGCCTGCTCTCACTCCAGGGTGAGGACCCTCCTGCGGGGCCTGACCAAGCAGCTGGGAGCAAACTTTGGATTTGTGTTTAATGTGGCCACACCTTGGGTTCCAAGCCCTGCCAACCTGCACAGTAAGAAGCAGCCCCACATTACTCATCCTGAGGTCAAGGTGCAGATGTCCACGGGCCGCCCCAAGTCAATCCAGGGTGGAAGGCATCCCCATGTTTTCCAGTTAGACCCTACTGGGGAGATGAAGATACAAACCTCCAGGTCCCCTGTCCTGCTCCAGGTCCTCCCTGCACAGTGCTCCTCCCTGCACAGTGCTGCCAAGGCAGGTCCCTCACAGTGACCTTGGCACTGCTGGTACTGGGGCCTGTTACTCCAGACACCTGGCTTAGGCAGTTTGCACAGGCGGTGTGTTTGTACCAAGGGCAGTGTTTTGTTGAATTTTTCCACTAGTTCCCAGTAGATGGTTTCTTCTCCTACTAAGTGTGATTCCTTCTCCTCCGAGCTGTGCAGCTCCTGTTTGCTTTTCTCTTAGGGGTCTTCCAGAGGGGGTGCTGGCTTCTATCCACAGGGCTGCTCTACGCAGCAATCCTGGACTTGCACAGCTCACCAGTGGGCCTGGGGAGACATTGAGCCCGCGGGCCTTTCTTTGAAGCCTTCCCAGCTGTGTCCCTCAAAGTCCCTTCCAGAAGTGCCAGGCACAGGGCCTCTGGTGCCTTGGGCAGCACAGTGAGCCCTATGGTGGGTGACCCCTCAGACGGTCTCTGCTTTGGACTGCCTCGCCTGCTGCCCTGTTACTTAGGTGACCCTGGCAAAGATGAGAGTGCACGTGTCCTCCTGTCTGAAGGTCCAGGAGCAGATGGCCAACTGCCCCAAGTTTGTCCCTGTGGTGCCCACGTCCCAGCCCATCCCGAGGTGAGCAGGCTCCTGTGGGTCTATAAGCGGGTGGGGTGTTGGGCATCCAGGTATCTATGGGGAACCCAGGTCGTATGGGAATGGGGATGCCCGAGGCATGAGAGCTAAGACAAGGGCCAAGCCAGGCAGGTGGGCAGCTGAGATGGTCCTCCAGGCGGGAGCAGCACTGTCCCCTTCTGCACCGGGGCCCTGGCGGCACTCCTCTTAACCAGCACATGGGAGGGGAGGCCAAGGCCAAGTACCAGGCTGCTCTCCAGGGTGCCAGCCCTGCCTTCCCACTCACCGAGACACCCACAACTGCAGTGTCTCATCATGTCAGGAGCCCATAGAGGGATTGGGGCGCAGGGCAGGCTGGGGCCATGCTGATGTTTGTCGAGTGGGGCAGCAGTGGCAGTGCCCCCCAGCTCCCGGCCTCACCCCACTCCCCCACCCCAGCAACATCCCCAACAGGTCCACCTTTGCCTGTCCATATTGCGGCGCCCGCAACCTGGACCAGCAGGAGCTGGTGAAGCACTGTGTGGAGAGCCACCGCAGTGACCCCAACCGCGTGGTGAGTGCCCGCAGCAACCCCAGCTGTGTGCTGAGAGCGGCCTGCCTCGGACCTCTGGGCACAGCCCCTGGTGGGCACAGCGCTGCAGCAGGCCTGCTCAGAGCCCAGTGCACACCTCTCGAGTCCTTGGAGGGCTGCATGTGTGAGTGGTCCCCGGCCATGCCTCAGGCTGGGGAGGCCCACACCCTGCGCCGTGCCCGTGCACACTGACCCCCTCTTCCAGGTGTGCCCCATCTGCTCGGCCATGCCCTGGGGCGACCCCAGCTACAAGAGCGCCAACTTTCTGCAGCACCTGTTGCACCGGCACAAGTTCTCCTATGACACCTTTGTGGTGGGTGCTCCTCCCAGGGGCCCAGAGAAGGCCAGAAACAAGCGCTCCCTCACCCCTGCTGCAGCCGCCAGGGACAATGCCGTGGTCAGCCTCTGAGGAGGCCCCGCCCTGGCACAGTCTCGGGGACCTCAGGGTGCACCAGCTTCCTCCCCGACCCCCAGCTACCATCTTCAGGAAGCATGCAGACCCTCCACCCCTGTCTTTCCCTCCTGGTGCGGCCCAGGACTCCCTCCCCCATCCCCAGTCCTGAGGTCTCAGAGACCCCTTCTTTACCTTCCGCAGCAGCAGGACTGCTCTGGCCCCATGTCCCCGTCATGCGTAGCTGCGCCCTGAGGCACCTGTAGACTGCTGGGCCCCGCTGCTGTGGGGGAGGCCGAGGGTCACCTGATACAGGGGCAGTGGGGAGCCTGGAGGGGCCGTGTGGAGGCAAAAGAGGTCTGCTGGGCAGACTAGGACAAGGCCTGGGCTGCTGCCGCACCGGCCCGTCTCACATTCTGTTCCAGGACTACAGCATTGATGAAGAAGCTGCCTTCCAGGCTGCCCTGGCCCTGTCCCTCTCGGAGAACTGAAGGCACAGTGGCCACACCCAATCTGGGCCGGCGAAGCTGCTCTGGTGCCAGGCATCAAGAGCCTGTGGGGCCAGGATGCCACCCGGCTGTCCCTCGGGTGTCCCTCAGCTGTTGGCAGGCCGCCCGGGTCACAGCTCACAGCCCTGGGCCATCGGTGCTTTGCGGGGCAGGTGCCAGCCAGTGGGACCCAGAGCAGTTGGCTGTCTCTTCTAAGCCATGATGTTGTCCTTGCGTGAGGGGCAGGGTGCCCAGCTGCAGGAGAGAGCTGCAGGAGCAGCCGGCAGCACCAACAGCCCAACCCGGCACCCGGCTATGCTTCCACCGTGCACATTTGGTACTGGCTTTTGTGATACTTAGAAACCCTGGCGTTTTTCTATCTTATCCCATGTGATAACCTTTTCACATTTTATAGAGCAAAGACAAAGCAGTTACACTTCATATTGCAATATCTGTGTTTGACTAGGAAGAATAGTATTTTTATGGAACATTTACAAAATTATATTTTTAAAAAAAAATAATCAAAAATAAACCTTGCGTGGGACCAGAGGACAGGAGTGGCTGGGCACAGCTGGAGCCAGACAAGCTGGGGTTGCGCCTGGGCCTGGTGCCCCAGTCACCATCACAGCTCTCAAGGGCATCTGGTTTGTGGTTTCTCTTTGGCAACAACCAAGAAGGGGCCCCAGCATCCAGCCAAGGGTGGCGGCGGCCACCTCCCTCCCGGTCCTCGGCATGGTGGCTGCCATCCCAGCCAGAGCAGAGCTCTTGGGGGTCCAGGCAGGGGCCTACTGGGTAGTGGTCAGGCCAGGAAACACCCATCAGTGCCCCTGTTCTGTTCCTGGCATAAATTATTGCTGTCTTTTCAAAGAATTTTCAATAAAATGATCCCAAGCACCTGCACTCGCCTTGCGGTGGGCTCTGACTTAGCTGTCACCCGGAAGCACTGCTGGGAAGGCGGCCGGCCTCCGTGCCGGTCCAGGCCATCAGCTGCTCCCTGGCATCCTAGACCTGGCATCCCTGAGCCATGGGGACTACATGGCATCGGAGCAGGCAGTAACCCTCGCGCTCCTCGCTCAGTGTGCACCAGCCCAGCGCTCAGGGACAGGTGCCTTGCGCTGTAGCTTACCTGCCAGCCAGTGAGGTGGCCAGTCCCCGGTATGTCCCTGCCTCTTCCCAGCCATCTGTGTCCTGGACAGTTCTAAGCGGGGAGTGCTCCAGGAGATTGAAAGTGGCGAGAGCCAGCAAGCTGAGTCCCACAGTAGCACGTGTGACCGAGTTCCCAAGCGCCCTTAAGCAAAAGCACTTCCAGGTACCTTTGTGAGGCCCACTACAATCCCCTCCTCCTCTAGCCACTCGGACCCCATCTGCATGGTTCCTGTATCTGGGAGGCCCCACCGGTGCTGGGGACATGCAGAGCTGTGGCCGGCTGCCCTCCAGCTGGTTTCCAGAGGGAGGCACAGCACGCCAGGCCTTAGCAGGGCTGGCCACCAGCCAAGCCTGTCACCTGGTGGGAGCCGAGGGGCTGCTCTGTAGGCCCAGACTTGCCCCACAACTGGTCACTGGTGATAAAGGCTACTGTCACGGGTCCTGACCTGCAGTGTGTAGGGAGACCTGGCGGTAACCTGGGACCTGCTCCAGCAGGTCCTGACTGATAGCACTGTCCGCCAGCAGCCCGCCCACCTGCCCTCCGGGAAACACTGCTGGGCTTCTCTGTCTCACCTGCAAAGGTCATAGCACCTGCCACGTCAGCATCATGGCCACAGGCCCGAGAGCCTGGGGCAGTGGACCAGCAGGTCAGGAAGCTGGGGCCAGTGCCCCTCTCCTGTCCCTGTGAGGGTAGGGTGAGTCAGGAGGGGCAAAGGGAAACCCCAGATGGGACTGCCTGTGCTGTGCTGCTGTCAGGAAAAACTGGGTGGGCGTTCCTACGGTCACCTGGCTGGGACCTGTCCTGTGGGTCCTGTTCATGCTCCCCGGCTTGTCCTCGGGGCTCTGAGGTAAAGGGGAAAGGAGCACAAGTTTGAGCCCAGCCTGGTAACCTGGTGACTCAGGGAGACCCCGGCTCAAAGAAAGGCAGAGAACATAGCTCGGTGCTCCGGGGGTTCAGTCACCAGTACCAGAGAAGAAAGGAAGGCACAAAACCCAGCATGAAGAGGCCAACGGTCTCGGCAGCAGCAGAGCAGCCCCCACTGTGCTCGGTTCCCAGGCCCCAGCTGTCCATGCCCAGGAGGCCCATCATGCGTGCCCCAAACTTGTTTCTGGAGCGGTCACGTCAGTTACCCCCAGACTCCCTTGACAAGGCAGCATCCGATGGAAGGCGTTGGCCTGGTGCCCCAAGTGTCTCCATGTCCAGGAGCTACTGGGGGGACATCAAATCAAACCACAAGGAGGTGGTGAGGGCCACCCAATCCCAGCTGATGGCATACAGGGTGAGGGGCAACAGAATGCTGCCAGAACCCAAGCCAGAAACTCAGCATGGCAAGGCAGTGCCACGGGCGGGGCCCCACCTAGGCATCAGCCCGCCAGCCGATCAGCACAGTGTGGGGAGGCAGGCAGCCCTGTCCCCAGGGGGGCCTGTGCATGGGTATGAAGGGTCCCAGGCTCACCCCCACTGGCTGGGAGCCCCACAACCCAGGTCCCCATCCCGAGTTGGGGGATCACCCACCCGGGGCCAGGCTGCAGAGCCCTGTGCAGTGCAAAAGCTCCAGCCGGCAGCTGCAGGCCATTTCAGGGGAGGCAAGCGGGGAGCTTGCACCCCATTTCCTGGAAGGTCTTTCCTTCACTGGCCCGGCGGCAGGCAGTTCTCTAGTCCAGTCACAAGGGAGCTCAAAGGCCAGTGAGGCTCAGTTCATCCTCTGAGGAGGTGGAGGAACTGCCAGGCAGCTTCAGTCAGAGGCACTGGGAGGGACCTGCCCGCTGAGCCCCTGGACCCAAGGAGGACCGTCCTCCCTTGCCAGCCCACACACCGTGTCCACCAGGTTCATCAGGACCTCCACTCTGGCTGGGTTGGGGAGGGGCCCAGCTCCCCCAGGGTGACGTTTTTGGGACCTGGCACCCAGCCAGGCAGTCCTGCGCACACCCCACCTCCCTCCCCCAGTTTCCGGATTTACTACTGCACACTCTTGAGGATGGGCAGGCTTTGCTTCCAGCTCCGAGCTAGGAGAAAATCCCAGAGGGAGGGGTCCAGATGGGAAAGGATGACTCCCCACTTCCTGGGCCTGAAGGTCTGAGAGGGAAGCCATTCCCAAGCGTCCCTCCCCCTCCAGCCCTACAGAAACTATTCCACCTGCTTCCTGGAGTCCAGTTAGGCAGCGGCCTCTGGCTGGCCCCAGGGCGCCCTGTTCCTGTTAGAGAGGGAGGCTGAGTCTCTCCCTGCTGGGCCCCAGGCCTGGCCCCCAGTGCTGCTGGCAGGCGATGCTGAGGTCTGTGGGCTCCCAGCTGCCCCTGCACGCCTCCAGCTCCCTCCACCTCACAGAAGCCAGTTCTGGCCACGTCACATGAGCTGGCACAGTGACACAGGCACTTGCAAACGCACGTGTGTGCTGCTTCCCCTTCGCCCCTGCTGTTGCTTCCTGAGGCGCAGCTGAGGGGTCCACCTTGATGGCTTCCTGTGCCTCGGTCACTGGTTGAAGGGACCACAGCCCCTCCCACAATCTACGTGGCAGGACCCATGCTCACCTCCAGTGGGCTCCAAATGGTATGTGCCATTGCAAGTGGCAAGGAATTCCGTGTCACTGAGTGTGACCAAGAACGTGCTGGCCACCACTGGATGGATGTCAGGGGCCTAAGCAGTTGGGTTGCCCAAGTCGGGGCATCCAGCCATTCTGCCTTCCTTGTGAGACTGTTCCACACACCCACACGGCAGGGCTGCTGTCCTCTTCAAGGCCCCACTGGGCCAGCTCTGACCTGGGGCAGGAGGCCCTGGTGCTTAGCGGGCACCCTCGAACCTTCACTCATGCTTCTGGGGGAGCAGAGCGGGTCTCTCAGTCCAGTGCTGCTGGGCACAGGGCAGGCGCTCCCCAAAGGCCTGGCTGTCTGGGGTCCAGATTCTCCTCAGTGCAGTTCGGCCAGCTTTGTGAGCCTGGCTGCAGCCCTGGCCACCACAGGCATCCTGCATGTAACCAGGCGATCTCACCTGGGCCACTGCTCAGGCTGCATGTGACACAGTGGGGACTTCCAGGGTCTGGGTTATGAAATCCTACTGGTGAAAAGACAGGCATGTGACAGAGATGGCCATGCATGTGTGCACACTTATGCATGTATGCAGTATGCGTCCTCACACTGTTATGTCTGCTGGAAAACATACCAAAGGGGTTCGACAGCAGCGGGGTGCGGTGGAGCACACCCATAATCCCAGTCATCTGGGAGGTGGAGGCAGGAGGACCACACGTCTAACCACTGAGGATGAGATGGCAGTCGTGGTGATGCACACCTGTAACTTCCGGTATTCGGGGGGCTGAGACAGAAGAATCGCAAGTTCAAGCCCAACCCACACAATTTAACATGGCCCTGTCTCAAAAGAGCTAGAATGTGGCTCAGCAGCAGACAGCTTTGTCTACAGTAGCTGTAGGTTCAATTTCCAAGACAAAAAAAGATGAAAAAATACCAGATGAAGGAAATTAATAGGGCACAAGCACAAGCCTGGCAAATGCAAGGTCCTGACTGTGATTCCCAGTACCAGCAAAAAAAAAAGAAGATGGACAGACAGACAGAAAGAAACAAACTAATAATCTGATCCCCTAATCTGACCTGCAGCCCCAGGGTTGGGGACCTGGTTTGAGAAGCCCTCTTGGGGTGTCTGGTGGAGAAGCCTGGAAGGCTGTGGTAGGATGATGGGCTGCTGGCCCACAGGGGGCCACCGCCCCGAGGTCTCAGGTGTCAAGGGAAGGAGGCCAAGCCATGGTCCCGGCAAGGTCGCACAGGTTGAGAGCCCGCTCCTGGGAGGCTGGTGGGAAGGGTCTGTGGCGAGGGCATGCAGGATTAGCCCCCAGGCAGAGGAGCTGGTATGGGACAAAAGAAGTCCCAGCAGTGGAGACATCTGCTGTCCCCGCCTGGGGCCACACGTGGGGACAGGGCAGATGCCCTGCAGGGTCCAGCTGGACATAGTATACGTCACAGGTGAGGAATGAGGCTCCATGGCCACCAGGAGGGCCACTCAGAAGTCCCTGGGAGTTCAGGCTTCTTCTCTGGGCCCAAGTTGAGGGCTGACTTCCCTCAACGCACTCCCAGCGGGGATTGGCAGGTGGCAACAGCGTCCTCAGCGCCCCTAACAGAGCAGCTGACTGAGGAGCAGGGATACACTTGCAGCCATGCCCAGTGGGTGCCGGACAGCGCAGAGGAAGCCGGTTCAGGCCTCCTCGGTGTTCTGTGTGCCAAAGCCCACAAATAGAAATCTGGTAAGGCCAAGGAACAGGTGAAGGAGCGGCACTGGGCGCTGTCCTGAGAGTCACGTGGGCAGCATGGAGCCTGCACCTTCTCGCGGGTGGGCAGCCACCTGCGTGTCCCCTCCCATCACAGCGGCACTGGGCAGCGCCTGCCAACGGGAAGGGGCGTGGGACCCCATTCCCACCTCTCCGCGAGCATCTGTACGGTACCTCCACCATCCCAGCCACAAGCCTCCTGCCAGCGCAGGAAGGCCACAGTGCCGCGCCACACCTCCCCGTCCCTGCACCTGCAGCTCACTTCGGCCTCCCACTCCCAGCCCCAGAGAGGCCAGCGAGCACCACGCTCCTGGGCCAGAGCGTCGCCCGAGAGGTGGGCCTGCCAGCCAGCGTGGGTGCCCGGCGGCTCTTGGGGGCCTGGGGTGCAGCGTCCACCCGCCGGAGCCTGCCCCGCAGTCCCCCAGTCGTGACACGCCCACGTGGACAGGGACTCGGACAGCAAGAAGGGACTGCGGATTACAAGGGACACGGAGGAGGGAAAGTCGTCCTGAGCAGGGCGCCCCTGGGGCGGAGCACAGCACCGTCCTCTGCTACTTTTGTAACCACGGGGGACCCGGAGTCCCGGCTGGGTCCTTTGTCCCCAGCCCGCGAGCTCCTGGAGGCGCGGGACAAACTCCTGCCCGAGTCCCGAGCCCGGACCCGCCCGAGCACCTGTCCTGGGCGTGGCCCCGCGGCCCCGCCCCACCGCCCCGGCCTCTGGTTGGCCGCGGCGCGGCACTATGCTAATGAGCCGACCTCCCCGCACCTGCCCGCCCGCCCGCCCGCCCGGGCGCCCAGTCGGCCGCGCCCGCCGCCCGCACCATGCCGCGCTCCTTTCTGGTGAAGACGCAGCCCGGACACCGGGCCCCCGACTACGGGCGGCTGGAGACGCGCAGAGGTGAGGGCCGGGGACAGCGGGGTTAAGGGGAGCGCACCTGTGTTAGGTGACCCGGAGCCGCCTCGTGGGGACCCCCGCCCACCCACCACTGCAGCCCCGGCCCCGACCCTGTGTATCTCCTGGCAGGAAGAGGCGAGGGTGCAGACGGCCGGCCAGGCGCTGGCTTGTCCCCCACTTGGAGAAAGCCCCACGGGACCCCCAAAGTGCTGAAACCTGCCGGGAGGTGGCAGCAGGGAGAGGGAGGCTTGTCGGGCCGGGCAGAGGCTGGGTGGGCTCCCCAGAGCATCCTGGCAGGGCGGGTGGGTGCGGGGAAGAGGGATGAGGGACCCCTGGACTCCCACAGGTGCCTGTCCTGCCGAGTGTCTCCTGTGGCCTCTCCAAGACCTGCCCTCACCCCAGAAGCCCATTGGCCATCCAGTGCTGGCCGAGCTAGGCCCCCAGTCTTCCTCCGGACAGCGCGAGATCCCCACTTTCCGCCCCCTGCCAGCCATGAGGTGCTGCAGGTGGGGAGGACTCTGCCCCAAGGGAGCCTACTGCTTAGCTGGCAGAGCAGCCCCCACTGGCGCAGCCCCCAGCTCTGCCCCCTCCTAGCTCAGCCTCCACTGAGCAGTGCAGCTCTTGGGGAGGAAGACCCAGCTGCCCATTGCCCAGTGCCTGGGGCAGCTGCAGAGGACAGAGCCCCAGCCAGAAAGCTGCCCAGTCCCCCCAAGGGGTGGGAGCCCCCACCACTCTCAGCCCAAGGTGCCACCTTGGGGTGCTGTCTGGGCAAGGTGTGTTCTGAAATCAGTTTAAGGAGTGGCCACCCCCACTTATGTAAAATAAAATCGAGCAGAAACTATTGGGGTGTGTGTTCACAGTATGGGGAACTTTTATTTCAATTAACTATGTGGATGCAGATTTAGATACAATGTAGAATTGGATTTACACGGGTCATAATTCGGAGTTTGCTGTTGTGTTTTGTCCCTTGACCTACTAGGGATGGAACCCAGGGCTCCTGCTGCTGGGAAGGGCTCTGCAGTGAGTTGAGCCCCACCTCCAGCGCCAGTCCGGTGGCAGTGCTTAAAGTATGGAATCTTTGCTTAGAGCCAGGATGTCACCCCAGAACATACTAGAGGTCCTGAGGCTTGGGCCCCGCCCACTTTTGCTTCAGACTCTGAGAACCTGGAAGCCTTCTTCCGGAACAGGGCTACAGGGCAAGCAAAAAGCAGGAGAATGTGGGGGAGGGACAGGGACCCAGATCTTTAATCCCAATGACTCAGGAGGCTGAGGCAGGAGGGTTGTAAATTTGAGATCACCTTGGGCAACCTTGCAAGAACTTTTCTCAAAATAAAAATGTTTAGAAAGGGCTGGGTATGTAATTTGGAGTGTCCCCTTGAGTTCCATCCCTAGAACTGCAAAGAAAGAGGAAAGCAGACACTGCAGTGGCTGGAGGAGATGGCCTCAGGGCCAGAGTCTGACTGGCCGGTGCCTAGGGCTAGGGAGGGGCCGGGCCTAGGCAGCCACCAAAGTGAGGCAGGCGGCAGAGTCTCTCCAGCACCCCCTGGGGTTGGTCTCTCGCCTGTCGCCCACTCCCTTCTGGAGGGAAGGAAACCTGAGATGCTAATTGTACACTTTGGGACATCGGACAGGAAGCCATGGTCTCCAACAGGGTGTGAAGGGGCCTTGCCATGGTCTGAGTTTTCTGAGGGCTGACTGTGCTTTCTGGTCATTTGGACGTGCTCTAGCACGAAGCAGCTATGGGCGTCTCGTTTCCTTTTTGAATTGTGTTATTCATCTTTCTGTTGTGGAGTCGAAGCCATTCTTTACGTATCATGGATACTAGTTCCCGGTAAAGTACCTGACCGGCAAGTGCGGTGTTGGCACCCACTCTGTCTCTCTCTTCCCGAAGCCCCAAGATGGAGAGTAACTGGGCCACAGACTTGTTCCCAAGCCGTGGAAGTCAGCGGGCTCTGGGGAGTCCAGAATTGACCTCTTTCCGGTAGACTGACCTTTTATGTGGAGCTGCTGCCATCATGTGCCCAACATATGTGCCCTGGCCCTTGAAGACAGGAGTCACAGCTCTTGGAGCAGCAGCGGGGAGGGACAGAGGCCTGAGACCTGGCCCCCGCCCAGCCAAGCATGTCCCCACGTGTTCTGGAGCAGCAAGCTGCTGCCAGTGGCTGTGGAGGTGCTGACCACATGCTGATGCATGCGGAGAGACGCCACAGAGTGACCGCAGGGTGACTGGAGGCCACTGACCGCGGGGGTGGACGACAGCTCTGACCCTGTGCTGTGGCTGCCTGCAGCTCCCCAGGGGTGCAGAACGGCCTCTCACTGCCACCACTGGGGTCCTGAAAGATGTTTTGATTTTCCTTTTCCTGGTTCTTCTTCCTTCTCCTCCTCCTTTTCTTCTTTCTCTTCTTCTTCTTCTTCTTCTTCTTCTTCTTCTTCTTCTTCTTCTTCTCTTTCTTCTTCTTCTTCTCCTTCTTCTTCTTCTTCTTCCTCTTCCTCCTCCTCCTCCTCCTCCTCCTACTCCTCTTCTTCTTCCTTTTCTCCTTGTCTTTCTCCTTCTTTTGAGGCAGAGTCTCACTCTGATCAGGCTGGCCTGGAATTTGCTGAGATCCTCCTGCCTCAGCCTCCCAACGGCTGGGCTTCCACATGTGAACCACCCTGCCTGGCACAAGAGCCGTTTTTCTGTTAAATTTTGGTGCGGAGCTGGGGTTGGCTCCCCACCCTGCACATCCCCGACTGGTGCCAGCACCCCTCCCTGCAGTGGTCACACACTGTGCGTTGATGCCTCTGCTTCTCCCGGGACGGCTGTGGCGCTGGCATTTCTCACGGTCCCTCCGTGCTGTGCGTGGGTGCAGGTGCGCAGGTCTGCGAGGAGGCAGGGCCTGGCTCTCCTCACATGTTTGCTCTCTCCCGTCCCTGCAGGAGACAGTGGCACCTGCTCTGACCAGAAGGAGGTCCCTTCCACACCCGGCCTCCTGGCCCGGCCCTGGGACTGCACCTCAGCCGTCACTTGTGTCTCTCTGCCCCTCCTGCCACACCGCGAGGAAGCTCTGGGGTTCTCTGGGCCAGACACCCCAGAGACTGGCCTGGGGGGCCCCTGGGCCGACCGGGCCCCCAGCTCCCCGCTCAGAGACAGCCTGAACCACCTCAACCTTCCCCCGCTGCTGCTGCTGCCCACGCACTGGCCCCCGATCCTGCACCCCCACTCGTACGGGGCCCCAGACAAACTGCTTGGGGCCACGAGGGCTCCTCCAGCTCCCGGCAGCTTCGAGTGCATGCAGTGTCGCAAGGCCTACCACACGCCGGCGGGGCTGGCCAGGCACCAGCAGCTGCAGTGCCACCTGCAGGCTGGGCGCGTCTTCACCTGCAAGCACTGTGACAAGGAGTACGGCAGCCTGGGTGCCCTCAAGATGCACATCCGCACCCACACGCTGCCCTGCGTGTGCGGCGTGTGCGGCAAGGCCTTCTCCAGGCCCTGGCTGCTGCAGGGCCACATCCGGACCCATACAGGTGGGACGGGAGGACGAGGGTCCGGGCAGCACAGACCTCGAGTCCCCTACACACCCGAGTCCCAGGCTGGAGCGTGTAGACAGACCGGTGCCCTCCGAGGTCCAGCTGAACCCTTGGGGTCGGCAGGGTCATGCTGCTTCCGCTTGTTCTTGCAGGACCTGTGCCCCTTGCATGTCTGTGCCCATGGGTCCCTCTGCTGTGACAGTACCAGTGGCGGTTATGTGGGGCTAAGCCCCCCAGCGGCCCCATCTTGCTTATATTTACAAAGCCCCTATTTCCAGATGAAGGCACAGACCCAGGCGCAGGGCGTGGATGCACCCCAGGCTGGCGAAGCTCGGAGTGCAGGTCCTTGGGGCGGGGGACCCTGCAGGGTCTTGGGGCTAGGGCAACAGGAAGGACAGAAAGGTGGCCTGAGCATCAGGACAGTGAGGGTCGAGTATCAGGACTTGGGGACATGCAGCCCCTCGGTGTCCCAGGGCCACATCAGCTAGCGTCTTGGGACTCTATACCACTATAGGACTGGACAGTGGCTCCTCAAGGCCCCTTCCCTCTGGCTTTCCACAGCCTTCTTGGTGCCAGGATCCCAACAGCAGGCCCTGCCCCAACCGCTGGTGGCCGCGATCAGATCCCTGTGGCTCCTCTGCTGCTGGCCCGCAGGCCGGAGGAGCAGCCAGAGATCCCTCTCATGGGGGACCACACGGCCGGCTGGGACCGGTTTGGGCTCCAAGGAGGCCCAAGAGCCAGTGGCTGCCTCAGCCCTCGGGCGGGCCCTGTGATGCGGGTCCGGCGGCCTGTGTGACATTCTGCCTGTCACGAGCGGTGGGAGGGAGCAGCAGGTCACCGTGACTGACCCTGTGGCCCTGCCGTGTGGGCGCCACTCACCCAGCCCCACCTTTTCCTGCAGGTGAGAAGCCCTACGCCTGTCCCCACTGCAGCAGGGCCTTTGCTGACCGCTCCAACCTCCGGGCGCACCAGCAGACACACTCAGGCACCAAGAAGTACCCGTGCAAGGGCTGCGGCAAGACCTTCTCCCGAATGTCGCTCCTGGCACGGCACGAGGAGGCCGGCTGCTGCCTGGCCCCTGAGGGTGCCCCCTGCCCCATGAGCTGAGGGCCAGCCGGCCTCAAGCAGCCTGTCACCGGGGTCCCGCGGGACAGAGGCCAGCCCTCCACCACCTGCATCCAGTCAGACCTTCTGGGGACCCCACTTGGGGATGCAGTCGCCCAAACAAGCACCACTGTTTCACCTCTGACCTGGCCCGGTTTCTGGTCCTGTCCCTCTGAGCGGGACACTTTGGGGAGACTCAGCGGCTCTGGATGGTTCCCGCTGCCGAAGTTCCCTGGAAACTTGAAGGAGCAGTTGTGACGGGGGCGAGTGGGTGGCACCGTGACCTGGGAGGGCACAGCTGTCTCCTGCCCGGCGTGTGTGCCCGGCGGGGAGGCCAGGAGCGGGTGTCAGGAGGGCGCGTGGCGGGCAGAAGTAGCACCTACCAGGCCCTGTGTGCCTGGCTCTGGGGTCCCCTGCCATGGGCCCTGGTCCCCTGGGTCCCACCTCCTGTCATGAAGCCAGGAGCCTTACCGGGCAGGATTTAGCAAGGACAGCAGCAGGAGTGAAGGGAACATGGTGCCTGTGAAGGCTCAGGACCCCAGGAGGACAGGGGCTGCGGACCGCAGAATGGCTGAGTGGCGTCCCTGAGACAGAGGAGCGTCCCCAGCCCTGACGGGCTCAACTTGACCCGGAGGGGAGAACCAGACACGAGCAAGGAACTTTGATGCCCTCACAAAGAGAGCAGTGGTGTGGGTGTGGGGTTCGGGGGACACCTGTCCTGCTATCACCAGCTCTACCTCTAGCCCCACTGAGAAATGTGTCCTGGGCGCCTCTGGCAGCTCCCCTCCCAGCCCAAGGTGTCCTGGGCTGTGGGCCTTCTGTGTGAGAGAACATTCCAGAATATTCTGGAAGCTCTGCCACAACCATACACATGCAAGGTGTCTTCCCCTCATGGCGCAACCATCAGCTGCTCCAGGCTGAACCTGGCATGAGCCCCTGCCCGCTGCCGACCCCCAGGTTCAGCCCCTTAGATGCTGATTAGGCCCAGAGGGCCACTGAGCCTTGAGGGTCTGGGGGGCTTCCTGGGGGAATCAGGCCTTGAGCCACAGGCCGCCCTGGACAGGTGACCCTGGAGCTATGCTGCAGCCCAGCCTGACCATGTGTGGAGAACGCTGGGCTTGCTGCCTCCTGGGCCTGCATGGGGCCATGCACCCATGGCAGGGCCATGGGACGGAGTTCTGAGGCTCAGGTCCCCAAGCTGGCTGTCTGAGAGGAGGGGCGCTGGCCATCCCTGGTCTCCTTCTCTGTGCCTCTCTTCTTTGAGGTCATCAGACTTTGAACTGGGGACCCATTCTGCTGGGCACAACTTCATCATAACTGCTGTCCCCAAGGTCAGCTCCAAGGTTCTGGGTCAGGGTTTCAACCAGGATTTGGGGGACCATACCCATGCTGGTCAGCTGGTGGGCACCCTGGGTCCTCACACTGATCCCCGTTCCCTCCCTCCACCTGTAAAGGGTCTTGCTGGAGGCCCCTTGCCCACAGCTGGACTGGGTCCCTTTCTCTGGCAGCCCCTCCACCCCTCACCAGGGCAAAGGCCAGGGGGCCGCAACACCTAGGCCAGGCGGGGACAGCGGTCAGTTGCGTCTCCAAGGGCCTGGCCTCCCAGCAGGTGGTCGCCCAAGGAGGGTTCCGGGGGGTCAGATGAGACCCAGTGCCACCCGAGCAGCCAAGCAGGTTCCTTTGGGATGGCACCCAAGGCCTAAAGGAAGCTGTGTTGTGGGTCACGTCTATTTCTGGGGCCCTGCATCTAAATGGGGCAGCTGCACCTGTCCGTGTGAGGAAGGGAATTTCGCAAGCCCAAAATAAAGCTGAATGTTTTCCTGCAGGACCAGCCCATGGAAAATGTGCTTATATTTATATCTGGACTGGCGGAGGGCAGGGCTGCATGGGGTGGGCTGGCCCAGTGGGCAGAGGACAGGCACCTGCCAGGGCCGGACTTGGATGAATGGAGGAGACTTTCCACCTTGCAGGGCAGGCTGAGGTCACCATCCCGCCCACCAACACCTGTGCCCAGGGCCGGTGGCTGCTGCCCAGGACACCAGCAGCTCTCGCTGGGGCCCCTGGGGCCTCCCCACACCCACAGGCTGGGAGGGTCTCACGGCTCTCCTCGGGGGCTCCTGCGGGGCCCTTGCCTGCCTCCCTCTGCACCCAGCTTCGCTCACCAGAGTGCCACCCCTCCCTGGAGAAGGCCCCCTTTTATCCTGGAGCACTGGGGGTTGAACACTCAGCCATGGACCCTGCCCTCTGAAAACTTTATTTTGAGACATTTTTCACTGAGCCACCCAGGCCAGGCTAGAGTGCCAGGTGTGCCTGTGGCCCTGTAGCCCTGGGCTTTTGATCAACTTCTGGGCACGCAGCTGGATGTCTCCCCAAGCCAAGGCAGGGGGGAGCCCAGGCACCCCAGGACCCAAGCAGTGAGCTGGAAGCCGGGATTTTGATCAATAGATTTGAGGGAAGCAGAGGCCTAGAATTTGGGCAGTGAGACGGTGGAGGGGAGCCTGCCCAAGGCACCCAGAAGAGAGAGAATGCAGCCCAGAGATCACCTCTGGGAACAGGTGTGTGCGGGTGACAGCCCGCCTGGGCCCAGGCCTGCACTCTGGTCTCTGCTGAAAGAAGCCACTTCTGGATGCCAAGGAGGGGCTAAGGGTGTTGCTATCTCTTCCTGGAGCACAGGACTCTATATCACTATGGCCTGGAATATTCTGGGGTTCTCCAGATGCCTGAAAATAGCCCCTCGTTCCTATCTATACTCAGAGCCCACTCCTGGCTCTGCTTCAGGGCTAAGTTTAGCTCCCTGGCAGCGCTAGGTGGAACACAAATTTCCAGGCCTGCCTGCCCGCCTCTGGACGCAGGACGTCCCAGGAGGCTGGCTTGGCTGCTAAGCCCGGGCAGCTGAGCCCAGGAGGTGTGTGCTGCCAGGTATGGTGGTACACACCTGTAATCCTAGCAGTCAGGAGGCTGAGACAGGAGGGTCACTGACAGTTTAAATCCAGCCTGACTACCTAGTGAGACCTTGTCACACAGAGAGACAGACAGACAGACAGACAGACTGAGAAAGGAGGCTCACTGACCAGGAGACTCAGGACTGTTTCTTTCAGCAGCTGATCACTAAATTTGTCACACATCTGGGTTTCTTCAGCTGCAGAGAAAGAGCTGTGGTGCCCCTGTGTCACAGTTCAAGAGAATGCCAAATAAGCACCCCAGGGAACTGTGTTTGGGAGACCTGAAACTTTAGAAAACCTTCAGCCTAGACCGGTAGAGTGGTGCACATACCTGTAATCCCAGCTACTCAGGAGGCCAAGGCAGGAGGAGTTCAAGTTTGAGGCCAGCATAAGCAATTTAACAAGATCCTGTCTCTGATAACCCCAGAGGTCCACCTCAGCCTACATGGCCCCAGGACACCAGTGCCCCTTCCAAAGGTGAGTTAGGGACAGGCCGCCAGGTCACAAGGCTCTTCGCACCTGCCTGTTTACCTTTTGGGGACCCCTGGACCCTTCTGCATGGTTGTGTCACACAAGGGCAGGACTGTCCCTACCTCTGTTACAGTGCAAGCACCTGCCAGCCATCCCCAGACCAATGGGGACAGCAGAGCAACCTTAGAGACCCCGATGGCCTCCGGGTGCCCCAGCCTGCCTCACCCTGGCCTTGAGTCTGGTCCCTTCCCGTCCTGAGGCACTGCACAGGCTTGTTCCTTCATCCCGTGACCTGGGACAGTGAGCCTGGGTACAAGGGAACCCAGTGTCTCCATGGAAAGAAGCGCCTGAGCCCTGCGCACGGTAGGGCCACAGCGTGGCCTTGGAAGCCTCAGCCCTCTGCCGAAACCCGCAGCTTCCGGCCCAGGCTCCGGCCCAGCCAGGGTCTGCAAGGCGCCTGCCCGAGCCCCGAGTCCCGAGCCCTGCGGGGACGGAGGGGAGGATGGTGTGAGGATGTGGGGGTGCTGCGGGCACCCAGGCGGGGTGCAGATCTCTCACAGCAACACTGGCCTGAGCAGCAGGGAAGAAGAGGCCGAGGGAGGAGGCCGAAGGCAGAGGGGAAGCAGATGGACCCCAAAGTGGACCCCAAAGGGGTAACAGAGCCTGGTTCTGCTGTCTGATGGTGAACAGTGGCCCTGGGGTGACACAGGGAGGACACGAGCCAGCCTGAAACCCCACATGACACACAGTGAGTGGGTGCTCAGCGAAGGTGCACCACCGCCTCGCCCCACACCTGCACCCGTCCAGCCTTGCAGCTGGAAGGACCTGAGTGCTTGTGCCAGGCCGCAGCCCTGCCAGGACAGAGCAGCAGCTCAGCCTGGGGTGACAGCTGGGGCCACACGAAGACACGGGCCTGCTCAGGGCCGCGGGCTGCAGCTGGTGCCCAGGCACATGGTGGCCACCAGGCCCGAGTATGGGGAGGCGTCCGGCATTGCTCCGTCCCCTTGTGTGGAGCCTCAGACTCAGGGCTCCTGTCGGGCAGTTGTGGCGCTGTGGCAGGCCCGTCCCCGCTGCCTTCTCTCTGGGTCTTCGCGTGGCGTCCTGTGTGAGGCAGCACGTTTCCTTATTTCTACCACTCTGCCTGTCCCGGGCCCGTGCTGAGGGCCTCGGTTCACCTTCTTACCTCCAGGCGCTGTCTCCACATACAGCCACAGCTGAGGTCCTCAGTTAGGGCTGCTGCACATGAGTTTCTGGGGCCTTAAAAACCCAACGGGTGCTGATCGCCCCCCTCTGCTCTGTGTGGAGGGACAGCCGAAAAGGGGCCTCCAGCCCGTGTTCACCGCACTTACTGTGCTCAGGCACAGCGGTCAGTTGTGGGACAGAGGGTCCCAGCAAGATCCCAACATCTAGCCTAGGGGTAGACCCTCGCCAAGACCCAGTGTGTGTGCCGGGCGTGATGGTGCACACTCAGGGGGCTGAGGCAGGAGGATTGCTGCGAGTTCAGGACCAGCCTGGGTTACAGAAAGAGTTCCGAACTACACAGTGAGACCCCATCTCAACAAACAAACCAAACAAAAACAAAAGAACCCAGTGTGCTTTTGCCTGATTCGCAGGGCATGTGGATGAGTGTGTGTTTATATATGTGTTTTTGGTGGGTACTGGGAATCAGACTCAGGCCCTTGTGCTTACCAGACAGGGCCTACACTGCTGAGCGGTGTGTATTTTGGTTCCAAAATTGAAGACATATAATTTTAGGTCACCAATTCACCAAAAACAATCACTGTGACTATGAGGGACGATGTGTTAGTGACCCCAGAAGAGGGGACAGGAAGCAATCCAGGTCCACCTGCAGGAAGCCTGAGAGCCAGCACATTTCCTTCCCTCTCTGAGAGCCACCCCAGGACGCCCCCTGGGCAGGACCTTCGCTGCTCCACTGTGTTATCAGGCACTTTGCCTCCTGTGTGCAGGTGCGGTGCCAGGCCTGCACAGGGCTGGGGGCTGCCAGCCCCTCCCCATCCCCCGGGCGCCACAGCGGTGGGCGGACCTGCACCCCTGCCCGTGCTGGCTTTAGCTCAGCTACACAGGCTGGCTCAGATGGCAGCCCTTCTGCCTCAGCCTCCCAGCAGGCTGGGCTTACACGTGTGAGTTACCGGGCCAGTTGTGCGTTCTTTAAAACACCTGTTTTTCTGTTTCTGCTGCCAACACCTCTCTCTCTCCCTTTCCAGGACACCAGGAGGCACCTCACCGCTGACACCTGCCCAGAGCGTGCTTGCTTTGCCTTTGCCAGGATCTCCCCAGCAACGAACGCCCTGTAAAGGGGGCAGCGACCCTCGCAACAAACATGAGAAGCGCAGGCCCCAGGCAGGTGCTCCGTGGCTGCAGGATGTCAACAAGTGTGGGGACCGAGCTGGGACATCCTCCTGGATCCGTGGTGTCCAGGTGGGAATGACCAGCCCAGCCGTGCGGGATCCTGGAGTAACCAGGCCATGAGAGCCAGGCACGGCGAGGTGGCCCCGAGGGGACCGCTGTGTCCCAGAGCAGGGCAGCCAGCCAGGCCCAGGGATTTGCTGATCGTATACTTTTCAGTTCTGAAATCTGAGCTGTTTTAAAGCTAAACACATGTTTCAAAGAGGGAAGGAGGAAATGGAAAGTTGGTGTTTAATGGACAGGCGGGGATGATGAAGAGAAAATTCTAGAAAGGGACAGTGGCACAATGCCCCCGAATTGTAGACTGAGATTTTTGGCTTTTTTTTTTTTTGAGACAGGGTCTCACATGTAGTTTGGGCTGACCTTGAGCTTGTAGTGATCCTCCCGCCTCAGCCTCCCCAAGTGTGGAGATTACAGGTGCACACCTCCCCTCTGCTGTGTACTTAGGTTTCTTGGTTCTGTATATTTTACAATAAAAACCAAATATCTATAAATGTGCCAATCCAAAGCCCTTGCTTATGTGGAGCGTGGTGGGGGCAGGCCTGGAAAAAGATTGATCTTGGACTCATCCATATGCAGAACCCTGAGAACATCAGTGGGAGACATCGCCTGGCAGGGCATTGGTACCCCAGGATGTAGGTGCAGGGAACCCCAAGTTGAAGATCTGGATATGGATACAAGGACCCTAGCAGCGGCACAGGACACCCCAAAATGAGATTGCAGCAGACCTCGGCAGAAGGCCCTGAAGGACCACCGTGAGCAGTGAGCCAAGGACTTTCTGACTGCAGGATTTAGGGGGATCTGGTGAAGGAGAGACCCAGACTTGGGCACTGTCCCTCACTTATCCCGCCCCCTACACCTGCGGTGAGCCCTGCACTGGGTTGTGCCTGCCTCTGAAACCCCACCTCGCGCCTGCGCAGCACTCGCGCCGGAAGGAACCCCGCCCCTCGCGGACACAGCGCCTGCGCAGACCACATCCCGAGCGCGCTCGGCTGGCGCCCTCCGGCTAGTAAGGGGCGGGCTCAGTGTCAGCGGCCCATCGTGCGATTCCATCCATTGGCTAAAAGGTGGGACGTGAGCCGAGACGCCCGGGGATTGGACGGCGTGAGAGCAACCGGGGCCATGCGGGCCAATCGCATGGCGGCGCGTGAGGAGGACGCTCGCCGGGCGGCTTCCCGCAGAATCCAGGTGCTGCGGCTCGGGAGCCGGACTGCGGCACTATGCCCTCCAGCAAGTCGCCGGTGGTCGTCACCTGTACCGCGCCGGTCAACATCGCGGTCATCAAGTACTGTGAGTGCCATGGCCTGGGCCTGGGTGCCAGGGAAGCGCCGCGAGGGAGCGGTGAGGCCGCCCGGTGCCCACGCAGGACTGTGCGGCCTTGTGTGTCCACGCCCGCCCCGCGGCGGCCGCGGCCCCAGCGTCTTCCCCCTGACTGCTGAGGCATTGCCTCCTTGTGGTTCTGATGTAAATGTCTCTGATGGTAAAGGAGGTTGACCGTCTGCCTGTGCGTTTGTATCTGTAGACATCTTTGGTGAACTGTCTACGTCTTTTGTGTGTGTGTGTGTGTGTGTGTGTTTTTTTCCCTTCCCCCTCGTTTTGGTGGTACTGAGGATTGATCCCAGGGCCTTCCAGCCCTTTTTAATTTTTTTTTTTTTACCTTTTTTATTTTTGAGTCAGAGTCTTCCTAATTTTTAATTTTTGTACTGGGAGTCGAACTCAGGACCTCAGCAGGCACTTATGCCGCTGAGCTAAACCCTAGCCTGCTAAATCTTTAAATTGCTGGTCTTTGATCCTCCTGCCTCAGCATCCCCTGTCCTGGTATTACAGCTCCTGCCACCACCCCAGGCTCCATATGCGTTTTAAAATAACTTCTCCATGTACAAGAAGTCTTGCTAGGATTCTGCTGAGTCCCGAGTTGGGTTAGGCCTCCACAGCACTTAGTGCACATCACAGTGGCAGCTGAACTTAGCTGGAGCCACTCCTCCGTCTTGGGTGAGGTCTCCTGACTTGCACATCGTGGGTTGTGCTGATTGGGGTCTTCGGTTTGCTGACCTTGCTGTCTGTCCCCTGCATTCTGAGTTTGTCCACTGCAGCTCCGTGTTTCCAGCTCTCCCACTTCTGTGTGATGCTCTCCCCTTGGTTCCGGGTGGCGGCCTCGGCTTGAGGGGCCAGGGTGCTTACCAGCATCCTCATCCAGACTGCGTTAGGGTTCTTTCTAGATGGCCCTCATCTCTGGCATCGGCTGGCCCTGTCCTGCTCAGCAGTTTGAGGTCCTGCTTTCTCTGGGTGCGATGGGTGGTTTCAGTGATCCTAAAGGTTTCCTGTTCTTTTGGTTCTTATCACAACTGCTGGCAGGTGTGTGGCATTGGGGCAGGGACAGGTGTGGCCTGCTCTGCAGGGTGGAACAGAACCCAGGCTTCTTGGGCAGTGGGGCAGCCTGGTTGCTCCATCAGCAGGGCAAAGTCCAGGTGCCCCCTTAGTGAGGACAGGTCCTGCTCTTCCGTGGGGGGAGGGATCAGGCACCCCCTTCCAGCCTGGGGTCTGTGCTGTGACAGTGTGCTGGGTATTTCCTGTCTTGCTGGCTGTCCTGGCCAGGAGGGTGGGTTGCTGTCTGTGCCCATGGGCAGCGCTACGTTCTCACTGCGGGTATGGAGCACACAGCACTGAGCTGAGGCCCCATGGCCTTTGTGTCTCCTGTTAGGGTGAAGCAGCACCGGGGTTGTGGTGTGTATGGCGGGTGGCACAGGGAGTGGGGCATCTCCATGCCTGGTAAAGATGTTTGGAGATGAGACCTGGAGGCACAGCTGCAGGCCCTGGAGCCCCTGCACTGCAGGCCCGTGGGAGAGGGTTGTGGGCAGAAGTGGGGGACTGCCAGGAGTCTGGCTGCTGCTGTCTGGGGGTCAGGTGGGTGGAAAGACAGCCAAGAGCCCGCTTTGAGTACACTTAGGGCCCAGCAGATGTACAAAGGTGATTTGTGGAGTAAATGAAATTATTTGGAAGTAATGGTGCAGGTAGGCAGCTGGCCCTGAGCTTGGCGAGGCGATCCGGGAGGGCTTCCTGAAGGTGGTGGGCAGCAGGAGGGGGCTTCCTTGGACTGTGGAGAAAGCAAGCCAGGTAGAGGTGTGGAGTTGGGAGCTGAGGAGACAGCAGGGAGCACCAGTGGGGTGGGTGTCCTGGGACCCACGGACCTCTGATTGTCTATTCCAGGGGGCAAGCGAGATGAGGAGCTGATCCTGCCCCTTAATTCCTCTCTGAGTGTCACTCTGCACCAGGACCAGGTGAGCACCACTGGGCCCAGTGCATCCCTAAAGGCCAGCAGGAGGTGGCCTCGCACGAGACCTCCTGTCGGTGCTGTACCAGGGCGTCCTCCTGGTGTCTGAAGGGCCCTCGCTGCCCGGGTACCTGTCCACCAGCCCTGCTCCTCTTGGCAGCTGCCTGCCTCAGCCTCCTGCTCCCTCAGGGCACTGGGTAGGGAGGAGAGGCCAGCCTGGCATACCAGACTCGCTGGGCCTTGCCCTCATGGCCCTGGCTTCTGCTCCCAGTTAAGAACAACCACAACAGCTGCTATCAGCAAGGACTTCTCGGAGGACCGGGTCTGGCTGAATGGCCGGGAGGAGGATGTGGAGCAGCCGCGCTTGCAGGCCTGCTTGCGGGAGAGTGAGTACAGTCACGGGCCGGTGGGGGACAGGGCGGGCCTGCCGGGAGGAGAGGGCACGAGAAGTGGGGTGGGGCCACGCCCTGCTGCAGATTGGGTGCGCGAGATGCCCGGAGGCGCCACGTGTCTCAGCCTGCCCCTGCCGACAGTCCGCCGCCTGGCCCGGAAGCGCAGGAGCACAGGAGACGAGGACCCGCGGACCCCCAGCCTCAGCGACAGGGTGCACGTGGCCTCAGTGAACAACTTCCCCACGGCCGCTGGCCTGGCCTCCTCGGCAGCGGGCTTTGCCTGCCTTGGTAGGTGCCCCAGGCCGCCCCAGCCCTGCCTGCCCAGATGCCTGCTCCCCAGAGGCCCCCAGCCTGGCCGCTGATCCCGCTCTTTCTGCCTGCAGCCTACACCCTGGCCCGAGTCTATGGGGTTGAGGGCGACCTCTCAGAAGTGGCTCGCCGGGGCTCGGGCAGCGCATGTCGTAGTCTCTATGGGGGCTTCGTGGAATGGCAGATGGGGCAGCGGGCAGATGGGAAGGACAGTGTTGCCCAGCAGGTGGCCCCTGAGTCGCACTGGCCCCAGCTCCGAGTTCTCATCCTGGTGGTGAGTAGGGTGGGCTGAGGGCAGGATCCATGGCTGATCCAGGCCGAGGGTCAAGAGTGGCCAAGGGTGGCCCTGCATGGTGTATGCAGGGCCGGTGCTGTTTCCCATCAGGTGAGCGCTGAGCAGAAGCCAGTGGGCAGCACGGCGGGCATGCAGACCAGCGTGCAGACCAGCGCCCTGCTCAAGGTGAGGGGCGTCCCGCCTGTCCTCCTGGCCACGGTGCCTTGGCCACTCTGGACACCTGCCTGCCTTGCAGTTCCGGGCCGAGGCCCTAGTACCAGCACACATAGTGGAGATGGCCCGCTGCATCCAGGAGCAGGACTTCCCCGGCTTTGCTGAGCTCACCATGAAGGACAGCAACCAGTTCCACGCCACCTGCCTGGATACCTTCCCGCCCATCAGCTACCTCAACGACACGTCCCGGCGCATCATGCAGCTGGTGCACCGCTTCAATGCCTACCATGGGCAGACGAAGGTGCTGGCCCAGGCGGGCATGGGTATGGCTATGTATGCCCAGCAGGGATGGCTGCAGGCCATGCCAGGTGTTCATTTTCTGGCCATTGTGCCAGTGGTGGGACTCCTTGGGTCACCGATCACCACTTTTCCTTATTTGCAGGAAGACAGGGTCTTGGCTGGGGGTGCGGTGTGGGGACAGTGTGTGACCATGTGGTTTCCAGGTGGCGTACACATTTGACGCGGGTCCCAATGCTGTGATCTTCACCCTGGATGACACCATGGCTGAGTTTGTGGCTGTTGTGAGGCACGTCTTTCCCCCAGAGGTCAATGGAGACAAGTGAGTGTGGTCCTCCCCTGCCAAACCACAGGGTCCAGGACAAGCATCCTGCCAGGAGCCCTTGGGGTCTGCACTTCAGCCCACCTGGTTCATGGGGCACAAGTACCTATGATGGTACCTGTGTCTCTGCTTCTAAGAAATAGTATCCCCTGCCCAGATGTAGTGGCACATGCTTGTCAGTAGGAAGCTGAGGCAGGAAAATGTAAGTTTGAGCCCTGGAGCTTACATAGTGAGACTCTGTTTCAGAAAAACAAAAAAGAATAAACAGAAGAAACTGTTTGTGAGCTCAGTTTCCTGTGTGCCCTTTCCCCAACTAATAGTGGCTTTAGTTTGTGTTAGGGAGCTCACCAGGCATCCTGAGGAACAAGTTAAATATGTTTTATTTTGGTACCAGGAATTAAACTCAGGACCCTGTGCTTGCCAGGCAAGTGCTGTGCTGCTGAGCTACATCTCCAGCCTGAAGTTAAATATCTTGACATTTAAAAATAAGTGATTTGAGCAAAGCCTGGCTCCCTCTCTCTGAGGCAGCACAGGGTGCAGTTGTGCTGGGGCTGTGGAGGAGTCTTAGTTCCACTGTGTCTCCATCTTCCCAAGAGCCTGGCCCCCACTCAGGTCGCCCCACACACAGGCTCACAGGGAGGGACACATACACTGCCCCTGCTTGTCCCCAGATTCCTGAAGGGGCTGCCAGTGACACCTGTCCCTGTCTCGGATGAGCTGAAGGCCACACTGGCCATGGAGCCTGTCCCTGGAGGTGTCCAGTACATCATTGCCACCCAGGTGAGCCCCAGGCCTGGCAGCTACTCCTCTTGCTGGACCAGGCCTCAGGCCCCCTGCAAGGGGTGGGGTACACGGGGGAGGGACGCTGAGGTGGGGTGCAGCCTGGGCTGTGGGTTGGGTGGGGCTGGCAAGATGGGTGCTTGGGTCACCAGTGACCTGAGGCTAATGCTGTCCCCAGGTGGGGCCAGGCCCGCAAGTCCTGGATGACCCGGATGCTCACCTCCTGGGCCCTGACGGCCTGCCGAAGCCCAAGCCAGCTGCCTGACTCCGCGTTGGGACGCGTTGGGACTCCGTCTGCTCGTATGGGATGCTTGCTGAGACCAGGGACTGGTGTGATGGCTAAGCCGTGCCTGTGGGGACCTGCAGGACTGCTGGCGTGGCCCTGGCTTCGGGGGCAGGTCCCCCAGCAAAGTGCCTCACTTTCCCTGCTGGACTGTGCCCCTGTGGACTGTGCCCCTGTGGACTGCTGCATGGCAGACCCTCGGAGGCTCTGACCTGCACTCAGGCCTCGGTGGGAATGGGAGGTTTTTAGAAGGACCAGGGAGCTGGTGGCACACACCTGTCATCCCTGCGTGCTGAGGCAGAGGACCGCAAGTTCACCCCAGTCTGGGTAATCTAGCAATTTATAGCCTGTCTCACTAAAACAACTGGAGCCTAGAGAATTCTACGCCTATTACTGCCAAAAAAGGGAACAAACACGGAAAAAGAAACCAGAAGCCTAGCGGCCCCTCCCTTCAGGAATAAAAGCCAGCCAGGTGGGATCATTCGGCGGAATAAACAGTGTTCTGTTCGGTGGTGGAGACCACCACCTCTGCTTGTTTCCTGCGCAGCGCACAGCGGGGACGGTCGCCCGTGACCCCCGAAGCAGGGGGCTCCGTCTGCCAAGTTCCGGGGCACTGGGATCGCCTTTCCTCCGGGTGCCCTGGCCCTGCGTGGCCTGCCGTGCCCTCCCTCGGGCAAGTCCTCCAGGGATCCAGGCTGCTGCTGACCCACAAGGCCCGGCCCGCAGGCGGCTTCCGGGTTCGCTGGGCGGGGAAGGCGGGGCCGGCGGGAGGGCGGGGCCGGCGGGAGGGCGGGGCCGGCAGGGCCAGTGGCAGCCGCGGAGCTCAGCACCGAGCTGGTGCAGCGCACGGAGGTCGGCACCATGGGGCAGATCGAGTGGGCCATGTGGGCCAACGAGCAGGCTCTGGCGTCCGGCCTGAGTGAGTGCGCGGGCAGCCGGGGCCCTGCAGGGCTCGGGCAGCCGCTGGCCGCGGGGAGGGCGGCGGGTCTGGGCCAGGGCGGCCGAGGGGCGCCGCGCCGTCCGGGTCGGGTCGGGTTGAGGTCGGGCGGCTGCGCCTGCAGCTGGAGCTCGGAGAGAGGCCGCCCTGCCGCGGCGCCCCGCTCCCCGACCGCGGGAGGAAGTGCGGCGCGAAGAGGAATTTCAGCCGCGGTTTCCGGGCAGTTCCCTACCCCGCCCCGCTTGAGAAACCCAGCTTGATGGCACCCCGGGGGCTCCCCTCGGTCTGCGATGGTGGTGGGGCGCCCCTTCTCAGAGCCCTGGGCTTCGTCTGGGGCCCGGGTGCAGGAGGAGACTAGGATTCCACAGGTGCTGGCTACCACCCCAAGGCCAGTGTACCCCGACCCTGTGCGCGGCAGTTTGCCAGCACACCTGGAGGGACGGGAAGCAGGAGGGTTTCAGCTAACCTGAACCTTTTGTCTCCTGGGAGCCTGGCAGGAGGACCCTGGCCACTCATCCCAGTGAGTGACCAGGACACAGATGGAGTCAGCCCAGCCTGGCCCTGCACCCTGGGTTTGGTGAAGCCCTCGGGTGTGCATCCTGCAGTTCAGGTGGGGCCCAGCCTCCCACCCCTGACCTGCGTCTGGGTGGTGGGGCTCAGGGCCAGTTGAGACAGTTCTCCTCTTGTCCCCCTGCCACGGGATTGTCACCTGCCTGGTGGTAGGCCATGCTCTGCTCTCCAGCTGCACTTCCTGCAAAAATCCCCTCCAGGAAGTGGAGGATAACGCATAACTAGTGCCAGAGCTGGGACACAGTGCAGGCCGGGTCCCTCCCGTGTGCACCTCTAGGCTGGCCCTGGGATCCCATCCAAGCCAGGGGCTATGGCCCAATCCCCATCCTGTGGGACAGCTCGCTGGAAGGGCTCCCGGGATGCTGCGCCCAGTGGGTCCTTTTGCTGACTTCCCATGACCCTTCAGTGGAGGCCCCTGCCTGGCCCTAGCAGGTTCTCCTAGATCTGTGTGGTCAGCCTACCTCACCTCCCTGCTCACACCTTCCAGGGCTTACAGTGCGGAGTGGAAGCCAGATTCCCAGTGCTGGGCCCTGGGGCTGCCTGGGCTCTTTGGTCCTCTTCCTTCTTCCTGGCCAAGGGCCCTGGGGCCTTGGCCGATGCTCCCTAGCGGGGAGGCTGCCCCTTCCCTTCTGGGACAGCACAGGGTCAGTTAGTTGCATTCTCCTAAAACACCCGTCCGGCCTGTCCCCAGTTAACTGCACAATGGATGCCTTTGCCTGTCGCATGCAGGGGGGTGAGCCCTCAGGCCACCTCTGAACCCGAGTGTCTTCACCCCATCTTGCTGTGGACATGCTGTGTGTGCGGGGGGGGGGTGTTGGGTTTGACACCCCTAAGACAGCAGAAGGCTCGCCCAGCAGGCACCTGCCCGCCTCATCCAGCAGCCAGGAAATTCATTTACAGCTGAGCCAGTGGCCAGCGAGAGGAGGAGAGTGGTGGGGAGCAGGGCCCACAGCCTGGGGATGCCAGGGGTGCGCTGGTTTTTGTGGAAGGGTCTGGCTCCCTGTGTTGGGGGAGCTTCGGGTTTTGCCCAGGTGGACTCTGGCTGGGAAGGGTGACCAGCTGCGCAGCATCAGTGTGGAGACACTGGGCTCTTCCCAGGGCTGCTTCACCTGGAGGCCTAGAAGAGGCCCAGGCGGGGGAAGGGGAACGGGCCTGGGGAGGCCTCCTCAGCCAGGCCCAGGCGTGGCACAGGAAGCGCGGGTTGCTGGGCAGGAGGAAGTGCACTGGGCTCAGACACCAGAGCGGGTGAGGTCCCCAGCGTCCTCACCACCCCCAGGCGGGGCTGCTGGTCCCAGCAGGGAAATCATCAATGTACAGTAGCAAAGAAAGATCACAGTGAGGAGGATGACAGAGAAGGCCATCAGAACCGGGTCCGAGTGGGGTCCCCAGGGGTGTGTGTCCGCCAAGAGCGGAAATAGGTAAATGTTCAGCTCGGAGAGAAAGCAAAGTCCTTTCAGAGCAAATGGAATGGAGTCCCTCCCTGGGTAAACCGTAATGAAATCACACCGTTAAGAAAAGAGAAAACTAGGTCAGACTACAGACTTCTCAGCACCCTCCATAGACACCGGCAGGACCCGGAAAGCATGTGTCAGGTGCGGGGTCAGAACCGGGAAAGAACCACTGGAAAGACTCGGGATGCTGGGGGGAGCCCTGGTGAATAGATACCGACCGTAAATAGCGAATGAGTACTTTCATGGCGAGAATAATGTGCTAAAGCCCGTCCACCCGCGGCTCCCTGAAGAGGGACTTTGAAGCAAGTAAGGTGAAGTATTATTGGGAACTGATTTTTGTTTTGTTTTGTTGTGTTGTGGGTACCGGGGATCAAACTCATGACCTCACACTTGCCAGGCAGGCACTTAAAACACTGAGCTAAATCCCCAGCCCCTGGGAATTGTTTTTAAAATGAAAGATCAAATAGTGAGTGCCTTGACATTCTGTACCCCTCAACGTGAAAAATACCAAATACACACCTCTGGCTTTGAAAATTCTTTCGCCACCAATTTGTCAAGTCCAAGTGAGCCTGAGCGCTGACTCCCGAACGGGACAAACAGGGAGAGACCCAGCGTTCTCACCCCACTGAGGTGGGGCTGTGGGCCCAGGAGAGAAGTCATCTGTGGGACAGACGGAGACTGGGTGTCCCGGGGACCGAAGCAGGCCAGCAGGGAAGGAAACCCATGGGCGGGCGGGCGGCAGCCTGTCCCGGATGAGAAGCCTGCAGCAGACACACACAGGAGCTTGGGCAGACCCGGGTGCAGGAGGAGTGCGAGTCCTTCTCGGGGCACTGGGCAGACACAAGCCGCTCAGGAGGGGACAAGGATGGCAGCGCGGGGACCGGAAAGGGCAGGAAGGCAGCCAGGGGTGGGGCGGGGCGTCCCGAGCTCCCAGCTGAAGATTTCATAATGTGGGGAAAGAAGTGTTAAAATATAACCACAGATGCTTGAGAAAGGGAACTGAGCGAAGCCTGTAAGTCAGCAGAAAGCAGAAGCAGCCGTGAAGCACCTGCCCGAGAGTGTCAGCGCGGGGCGGTGGTGCGCACCGTCAGTCCCGCAGTCTGGACGGAGGCCCTGAACTAAGAGACACCCTCCCTCAAAAAACAAACCCAAGGGAACAAAAGAGGAGAGTAGTCCAAGCTGTCTGCAGTCAGTAAAATGTCTTAAGATCAGTGTTGCCTGGGATAAAGTTGAAATTTAGCTGTGATGGTTTATCCCTGAGAGGCACAAGCTAGAAGCCACCGAAGTGTTCCGGAGCCAGGGGAATGGGGTGCTCGTGAGAGAAGACTGTTGATTTGTGCAGTAGGAACGATGCAATTAGTAAAAGAGGGGGAGCCGCTGCCCACGCAGGAGGGGGCCCAGGGCCTCCGGGGCTGTGGGGTCCTCAGCCGGTGCTGCTAGCTGTGCCCTGCGTCCCCAGGAGCTCAGGTCTCAGCAGAGGGAAGTGTTGCAGTTCGTTGGCCCCTGGCAGCGGAACCTCGCCTCCCCCGTGCTGTCAGGTGCCCACACCGTCCACTCGTCAGCCAGAAGCTCCCTTGCTGCCCTAGCCTCTGAGGGGCCCTGCTCCATCCCCAGCGCCCTAGTGGAAAAGGGCACTGTGACATTGTCAACTGTGATGTTTATTTTAGCACCAAAAAAATTACGAACGGGGTGTGCGTGTGTGTACCTGTGTGTGTGCACCCGTGTGTGTGCACCCATGTGTGTGCACCTGTGTGTGTGCGCTGCTCTAGGAGGCAGAAGAGATGACAAACCCTAACGTCCCCCCAAAAGGGTGCAGAGGGACAGCAGGAGACCAGGCTTGAGAGGCAGGTGGAGCCTGAGCGGGCTGGGAGGGCCAGCTGGCCAGAGGCCTATCCACAGCCGGGGCAGGCGCTAGACTTGCACTGTAGCCTGGCAGGGAGAAGTTGGCAGGGTCTGTGGGTGCCAGGGCAGAGAGCTGCAGGCAGGTCCAGAGTGGGCTGTGTCCGGGCTGCCCCTTGGCAGCTCCTGGGACCCTGCATGGCTGCCATCAGTGCCATCACCCTGGGCACCCCAATATCCACGGGGACCTCATCCCAGGGCCACGTGAGGCCTCGTGGCTCAGGGGAGGGGCTGGGCCAGGCAGGTGGGGACCGGATGACCGCACCTCAACCCACCTCCCTCCCTGCAGTCCTCGTCGCCGGGGGCATCGTGGCCACCGTGGGACGCTTTGCCCAGTGGTACTTCGGTGCCTACTCCATGTATCCTTCTCCATAGACGGGGCCGGGCTGAGGCGGGGCTGGGGCAGGCCTCTGCACACCCCTGCTGGGCTGTGTGTCCACAGGCAGCGGCCATGCCTTGCTGTTCCCATCTGCATGGGACCACTTGGTCCTTAACCAAGGCGGCAGCGCGGCGGGGGCGCTCGTGTGCCTGCTGGAGTACCCGCGGGGCCGCAGGCGGAAGGGTTCCACCATGGAGCGCTGGTGAGCAGCCGCCCAGGGCCTGGCCAGCGGGTGGGGCAGGGGCTGCGTGGGGCCACCCCGCTCAGGGGCCCTCCCGCCTTCCCTCTGCAGTGGACAGAAGTACGTGGCCGCCGCGGTGAAGCTGTTCGGGCCGCTCACCAGGAACTACTATGTCCGGGCCGTGCTGCACCTGCTGTGAGCTGGGCAGGGGGACAGGGTGGGCAGGGACAGGACCTGGAGGACCTTCCCCACCTCGAGGCTCCTGGACGGCAGCCCGTCCCAGCCTAGCTCTCCACCACTCGCGTGGTGCAGGCTGGGCTCACCGGTGGCCCTTGCCTGACTCCCCTGCAGCCCCTGTGAGGCCCCGTGGGGTCTCCTGGGCACTGTGGGAGGCCCCCCAGCTGCTGCCTTCCTGTTGACCTGGTGACCAGGGCCTGGGAGCCAAGGTGCCAGCCAGGCAGATACCTGTGTGAGCGGGACCTGGGCAGAGCCGGCTGGCCCCTGTTCTTGGTCCTGGGGATGCCCACAGCCTGTCCTGTCCTGGTCCTTAGGCCTGTGGCTCTGTGCCTGGCCTTGACGGTCTGTCTACCCCACCCACCCTCCAGGCTGTCGGTGCCCGCAGGCTTCCTACTGGCCACCATCCTGGGAACCGTGTGCCTGGCCATCGCAAGTGTCATCTACCTGCTGGTGAGTGGTGCCCTCACAGTCGCTGGGATGTCCCCGGCTCTGTCCTTGGCCCTGGTGGCTGGCTCTGAAGGTGGTGCCTGCTGGGAGCTGTGTGTGCCAGGTGGGTGGTGAGAGTTGTAGCTTGCCATGTGGTGACTGTTCTGGCTGCCCCCTCCCTTCCCGAGGCCATGCCATGGCCCTGCAAGTGGGTAGACGGGTAAGGGAGGCAGGGCTTGGAGAGGTGACGTGACCGGCCCAGGTCACATTTGCACCGAGGCGAGGGCCCGGCCAGTGTCCCTTTCTCATTGAAAGCTCTCTGCTCCAGTCCTAGGCTGAGTCAGGAGGAGTCACCAACACGCCGACACCCCAGGGTGACCTTTCCCTTCTGCAGTGCTGGGCACTGAACGCCAGCCTTCACACTGCGCTGTCTCCAGCATGTTTTATGTTATTTCAAGCTAGGGTATTGCTGAGGCACTCAGCCCCCAGGCTGGGCACAGATGTGCAGTGCTCCTGCCTCAGCCCAGGGCGAATCAGGCCAACTGCTGGCCCAAGGACATTGTGCCTTGCTGGGCACCATGCCCCTCGACGCCCTGCCAGCCCCGCCCAGCCTCCTGCCTCCTGCACCCGACATCTGGAAGCCCCGTGGCTTCAGTGTGGCACCTCTGTAGGTCTTGGACATCCTAGACCTTCCTCTGTGACAGGCTGCTAGCCTCGCCGGTGAAGCCCTTGGCGGCAGCAGGACGGCTGTCTGTCCATCTGCTCACTTGTCTGTGCTGTCCACGCACTCCCCACCGAGGGCTGTAACGCGGCTTTCTGCCTTCTCCTCACCCTGCAGCTCTCCATGGAGCATCGGGAGGTGGGCTGGGCGGCAGGCGCTCGGTTTGCATGGCTTCGAGGCAGCAGCTGCTTCATTTGCCAGACCCCTGTGGAGCCCAGGACTCCCCATTTGGGTCCTGTGTCGGCCTTGTGCATGTGTTGACGGCTCTGGGTCTGGGGAGGGCCAGCAGGTGTCACTTTCAGGCCCCTGGAGGAGGCTGGGAGCTGTGGGGCTCCGATTTTCACCTGGAAGCAGCCTCCAGGGTCTGGAGAACCCAAGGCTCCGCCCCCCCCCATGTGGCCCAGGTCTTGGTTGTGTGGCCTCAGGCCATTTGCTTGACCTTTCTGTGCACGCTTGTCCCTCAGCAAGTTGGACTTGAGTTGGCACTGGGGCCCCTGTGGGGCGGGAGGCCAGGGTGGCGGCTGGCAGCAGGTCTCCCCTCTGTGTCCCCAGGCGGCCATTCGTGGTGAGCAGTGGTTGCCCATCGAGTCCAAGCCCAAGGAACGGCCCCAGGCGGAAGACATCAAGCCACCACCCAGCAACCCCCCACCTCGGCCTCCAGCTGAAGCCCGAAAGAAGCCCAATGAAGATGAGGTGGCAGCAGGCGGGAACCCCCAAGTCAACCCCATCCCTGTGACTGACGAGGTGGTGTGACCCTGGCCTGGACTGGAGCCACCTGCGGCTCTGCCCCCACCGTCTGCTGGAGGACCTGCAGGGGGCAGCACAGCCACCACAATAAACACAGTTGAACCCGGTGTGTGTGGCTCTCCCTGGGGAAGGGCGTGGGTGGGGGACCCAGACCCCACACACCCTCTCGCCCAGATGGCAGTGGGCAAGGGGCTTTGGTCAGGCGGGGAGGATCTCACAGCCTCCCAGCGCCGTGGTGGAAATCAGGGCCTTGTCTGTGGGCATCTGCACAGGGGCACAGGCCCTGGGCATCCCTGGGGGACGCCGGCAGCCTGGGTTTCTCCTCGGGCTAAGGGGGCGGCTGTGACCGAGCCTCAGGGCTGGCGCACGTGTGCTCTGTCGGGTGCCTGTGCAGGCAGGGGCCAGGGTGGAGGAGGGGAGGCTCGGGTTGGGTCCTCCATTTAGTCATGGTCTTTGGGATGGGTCTCACTGTGTAGCCCAGGCTGGCCTTGAACTCAGGTGATGACCGGCGCAGCCCCCCAATGAGACAGAGGACGCTCTTGTGGGTAACAGGAACTGCCACTTTATTGAGGCGGGTTCTGGCTTATATATCTGACTGGCCAATCACAAGCTGCCACGGAGTCAGCACGGGGCGAATACGGAGTGAGCACGAGGTGCGCACGGGGTGGCTAGTTTAGGGACGTAACGCATTGTGGAAGCTGGCGTGGGCTTATCATCCCGGGCGGGGTGTGTTGAGCGCCTGCGCCCGACAAGGTGACCCTCCTGCCTCAGCCTCCTGAGTGTTGGGGTCACGGTGCGTGCCCAGGCCCTCGAGCTCTAACAGCCCAGATCCCAGGTGAAGCCGACGACCGCAAGGAAGCCAGGATTTTCCCCCACCCCGTGGTGGCGGAGCCCCAGACCCGAGTCCAGGCAGAGGCACAGCCAGCCACTTTCCCACAATGCCTTAGTTTTATTTTTTTGTCTTTGGAGACAGTCTTGCTGTGCCGTTGAGGCCTTTAGCTCACCTTGCAGCCCAGGCTGGCCTCAAAACAATCCTCTGTCAGCCTCCCGAGTGCTGGGATTACAGGGCATGCGCGGCCACACCTGGCCTTTCCCCCCTGCTTCAAGATGCTCGAGAGTTCCCTGCAGCCCGAGTCTCTTGGTGACAGGGTAAACTGAGTCTGGAGAGCCTTAGGAGCAAGCCTGGAGGCACGGGGAGGTATGGTCCCCGTAGGCAGAGAGGGTCACCCGGGCGATAAATAGTAATAAATAGACATAAATAAGAGGTGCTCCAGGGCTGTGTGAGTCCAGGACTGCTGGCATCACTGGGCCGACCTGGGCAGGACGCAGGTGCAGCCCACGGGCACCCGGATGAACTCGGTGTGGAACGTGAAGGCGCCGGGGGAGCAGGCCCGGCGGCGGAGCACGGGCAGGCTCTGGAGCAGCGGCACGGAGTTGAGGGCGGCCGTCTCCTGGCCGGTCCTGGTGTTGATGCAGCCCCGGCACAGGCACTCAGCCACCGCCAGCTTCCGTGGGTAGCGGTTCTCGTCCGTGTCGACCCTGTGGGGACACAGGTGTAAGGCTCTATGCTGCCCGTCCTGTCCTGCCATGGTGGGGACGGGGTCCTGGGGCTCCCCGGGGGCCCTCTGAACCCCAGGCCAGGAAGGGTCTGCCTGCCCGCGCCATGGCTCACCGGTATCTCCAGGGCGAGATGGAGCGCTCATGGGTGTCTGCCTGCAGCACCTGCCCAGGGCTCAGCGTGGGGCACTGTGTCCTGGCTGGGAGCTCCTCGAGTGGCCTCTTAGGGCTGGCCGCCTCCAGGGTGGGCACCAGGGCCACGGGCAGGGCCTGCTCCCACCTGGCACTTCGAGCCAGCAGGTGTGGGGGCGCCTGACTGTGCGGCAGCTCCTCGGCCAAGTAGCAGCGTGGGGCCCCATGGAGGTGTGGGGCCTCCCAGAGAAGAGGGTCTCGTTTGGCCAGGCTTTCCGGAAGCAGGGTCAGAAGCAGGATGCCAGGGAGGAGCTGGGGGCAGGAGAGGGCATGGTCAGGGACGCCAGGAGGGCCCCATGCTTCTATTCCTGGGGACAAGGGCCTGCAGCCCTCCCTCTGCAGACAGAGAAACCGAGGCAGGCCCAGGGAATTGGGCTCCACAGCACCAGGCTCAGGGCCAGGGTGGCTGATGCCCCTCTCAGACCCCTTCCCAGCACCCTGTCCTGGGGCCGGTGACGCCGGGCTCACCATCGTGGCGGCGGTGCTGGCAGCAGCAGGCATGGCTCGTAGCGGCAGCTCTGCCGAGATCCCAGTGTGAGCCTGGGGAGGCTGCCAGCACTTATACCCAGGGCCACACCTGGGGAACTCCGGCGGCTTCCTCCCGGAGGCGTGGGCCACGGGCCTGGACTTCCTCCTCCTTCCCCAGTGCTGTCCCCAGCGAGCTGCAGACCACGCCCTGCCAGGCCCCTCGGGCCTGCCCAGGGACACTCCAGAAGGTGGCCCGTGGAAGATGGCATGTCCTCAGTCTCTCTAGCACTGTCCAAACCCCAGACCCTGCTTGGTGCAGAGGGGCGGCAACCCCCACCCCACACCGTGCACTCGGGGATCCGGGCCCTATGCCCTGTGTGCCTCAGAAGCAGATGCTGAGAGCCCTCCCTGCCCCCAACCACTGTCCCCGCTTCCCGTGGGCCTGTGTCCGTCTGAAGTGGGTGCAGGGGGCACACAGGGTGGGCCTCAAGGACCCAGAGCCCAGGTGGTTCCTGCCAGTGCTCGCACACCTCCTGTGACAGGGAGCTCACCCCCTCACGGGGCCTATGGGCGGCAAACTGGCTCCTGCAGGCCCTGCTGGACTCCTTCCTAGCACGTGGTCTTCACCTGACCCCAAGTGGCCTGCCCCTTGTCTTACGAGAACAAGGGTACCAGGTCAGGGGCCACCCCAATCCCATAAAGCCAGTTCCCTCCCATGAGCCCTGAGCACCGTCTGCCAAACTTGTGTCCCAATGCAGTCAGCTGGGGGCTCTCCCTCCTGCAGGGCACTGGGGCCCCGGTCCCGGCTCCTGCACCCTAAAGCCAGAGCAGGCCAGAGAAAGGACAAAGGACGGGGATGAGCTTGTGGGCCGGCTGAGGTCAGCGTCCCTGCAGAGCAGTGGTTTCTGGGCGGCCAGGTGCCAACACATGCTGGGCCCTCACAGGGCCCAGTCACACCCTCTTCATCCTCGCCCGTCTCCAGCGAGGGGCACTGCTTGGGGCAGGGGTCTTGGGCAACCACAGGCTGAGAGGCCCAGACCAATGTCACCTCCAGGTGACAGAGTCAGAGACAGAGACGCAAAGACACAGGCAGATAGAGATGGCATCACAGGTGTCCGGCCTGAGGCTGCAGGGAGGTTCTGTCACCAGATGCACGGGCGGGCAGCGGGTAGGCATGTGGCCTCAGCTTCTTCCAGGGTCAGGGTGGCAGCAGAGTGGCCTTGGAGGCAGCTCTGGTGCTTGTGGGGCAGGCATGGATGGCTGTGTCCTTGCCACTGGTGGCATGGACGAAGCTCAGGAAGTTCCCAGCAGTGGTGCCAGCGGTGACGTGAGAGGAAACTGCGTGGCCTGTGACAGGGACACAGGTGGGAGCAGCCGTGGGCTCCGCGGACTGGCTGCACGGCGCCCGCTCTGGTGCTGTCCCAGGGTGCCGCCTGCCACGGCCGGAGCTGTCAGCGCAGGTGGGGGGCCATCCCGACCCACCCTGCCTGGCCTACTCCACGACGGGAAACTGAGGCACAGTGCTCCCTGGGGTCTAGGGCCACAGCCAGAGGCAGGATGAGAGCCAGCAAGCACACACGAACACCACCATGGCCAGCAAACTGCTTATCAAAATATTTTATTTTAGGAGATCCCTCAAAAAAAGACCCTCCACATTAGATGCCCCAACAACACCCTCGGCCTTTTTTTTTTGGTCTTTTCTGAATTCTTTTCCTTTTTAAATCAACTAAAACAATTTGATGCTTCAAATAAAAGGAAGAAGTTCCTCATCAGACTGCAGTGGAGACGCAGCGTGGACGCTGCCGGGCAGCAGGCGGTGTGTGCGGTTCCCGGGCGCCCGCCCGGCTGCCCAGCGGACTCGGCTCGGGCTGGTTCAGTCTCAGGAAGCCGGACCCAGCATCATCTTTCCTTCCTGTAGCTTCTTTTCCAGCTGAGAAACTTTTTTTTTTCTTTTTTAATTTTTAAAAAGAATCACAGCCAAAATAAGACATGAACTGCAAAATCCGAAGTGGCTGCGCTTACCCTACTGTAAAAACCGCCCGAGTCCGCTACGCCTTCCCGGGGATCTTGGCCCGCTTGCGAGCGATGGCGTCCTCCACGGCCTTCAGCTGCTTCAGCAGCTCCTCCCGCCGCGACAGCGTGCTGGCCTTCCCGGCCTTGCTGCCCGCGGCTGCGCTGTCCGCGGCTTTGCCGGGCACGCTGGTCACCTTGCTGGAGCTCTTGGACTGCGGTGACAGCTGGCGCTTCCTGCAGGGAGGACGGGAGACAGAGGCGCTGGGGGACGGCGCCTGGCCGGGGGGCCTGACCCGCACCCTCCCCGCCGGCCAGGCAGGCACCTCCGGGGTGGGCGGCCAGCCCAGGCCTGCTGGGGCAGACGCAGGCGCAGTGCCTGAGGCAGGGGAGGCTGGCCTGCTGGGCAGCACTCACCTGTCTGCTGGAGCCACGGGCGCCTTGGAGTTCTGGCCCCTCTGCCGTTCTGGCTTCGGGGAGCCCAGTCTCCCACCTGACTTCCGGTCCCGGGAACCTGTGATCGGGCAGGGCAAGATGAGCCCTCTGGCTGCCACACGGGCCAGCGAGGGGCAGGACCCTAAGCCAGCAGTCCAGTGCAGGTGTCAAGACGGCGCAACCCACCAGGACGCTCTACCACTGAGGCACGTCCCCGGCTTTTCGTTTCTGTTGAGACGGAGTCTCGCTGTGCTCCCAGCCCAGGCTGGCCTCAGCCCCGTGGTGGTATTATAGCCTGTATCACCTCCCCCGGCCTCACTGGTGTTGCTGTGGTATTACAATACGGTAGTTTGGAAGTGGGTGTGGTGGTGCAGGACTGATCCTAGCGCTCCTGGGGCTGAGGGCGGAGGGGCCGAGGGCGGAGGACCATCACGAGTGGAGGACAGCCCGGGCTACACAGACCCTGGTTCCAATAACCAAAGGAACCCCATGAAACAAAAACACAGCGAGACAGTCGGCGTGTTTGCCGCAGGTGCTGGGGGGCGTCCAGGGCTCTGTGCAGTCCAAGCAAAGCGCCCACTCAAGCCGCAGCCCACCTGGGGAGGCCTGTGTGGACCCCTCACTGCCAATCCAGCTCAGAAGCCCCCGGGGCTCCGCTCACACAGCCCACCTGGCTGCACCCCGGGAGGCTCACCTCTTTCTGGGGACAGCGTGGCCCGCTTGGCTGGGGGGCTCTGCCGGTCCTTGTCTGCCGGCTCATACCGCTTCCTGCTTCCTTTGTCAGCGGCCTGAAATGACAGAGCCACGAGCGTGTGGGGCCGGACGGGGACACACACACACACACACACACATGTGACCATGGCCCATTCTCTGCATGTCACTTGTTCACGCTGGGGCGGGGTGTGCAACACCAGGTGGGGTCAGGACTGGGCTGCGGGATGAGATGGACTGGGGCCACCTGGCCAGCTCACCTTGTTCAGCAGCGTCAGCTTGATCTCCTTGTGGGCCACGAATGAGGCCTGTGGGGGCTGCCCAGGGGGCGCAGGGGCGGGGGCTGCGGGCTGCTGCGAGGACTTCCCGCTGGCTGAGGGCTTCGACTTGGGTGGCTGTGCGGACACGTCCCTTTTCCGTTTCTCCTCCTTAACCCCGTCTTCTTTCTTAGATTTTCCTGCCAGTGGCACAGCGGTCAGAGCTCCCGTGGCACTGGGAGCTGAACACAGGCTCCCACGCTGCACCACACCACCCAGCCCGGCCCCGGCCATACCTCGCTCCTTTTTGGTCTGGGCGGGGGTGGGGGACCGGGAGCTGGCTGAGGACACGGGGCTGGCCAGGTCTGCGTACATATCCTCCGAGTCCACACTGTGCACTGAGCTGCTGCTCGAGGTGGCGCTGGACACCGAGGAGACGCTGCTCACACTCAGGGACCTGTGTGGACAAGCAGAGCTGAGCCTGGCAGTCTCCGACCATAGGACGTAGGATGAGACATTAGGGCTGCGGGGATCAAAGGGGCTGCGTGGAGAGGGCGGCTGAGCCAGCGCGACAGCCAGGGCCACGCTGAGTGCTACTGCGTGGAGCGCACCAGAAGCGGTGCCCCTGTGGCGAAGGGAACTGCATCAAGAGGACTGTTCTGGCCCAGGAGTTTGGGGCCAGCCTGTCTCAAGGAAAAAAAGGGAGATGGTTTTAGCCTGCAGCAAATTAAAGACGAGACAGTGATTTCTCGTCCAGGCGGGGCATGCGGCGATCAGGAAGTGTGGGCACAGGCTCTGCAGGGACTTGGATGGCCTGAATTGGGCTCCCCCGGGCCTGGAAGCCACAACGGGCTTGTGTGCAGGCCGCACCACCCTTCCTGCTCTTTCCTAAAGGTCAGGCTTTAAAACAGCCTGACCATCAGGAATCCCTGCTACCCAGGAAGGAGAGCGTTTGGCCACAGGACCGGAGGGCCAACCCCCTGGCCCAGACTGCCTACTGCTTCCCATGACTTTTGATACCATGCGGGGAAGGCAGCACTGGGGCTGTGTTCTTTTTTTTGTGTGTTGTTTTCGTTTTTATCGGTACCAAAGACCAAACTCACGACCGCACATTTGCAAGGCAGGCGCTTATGCCGCTGAGCTAAATCCCCAGGGGGGCTGTGTTCTTGCCAAGGCTGGACTGGGCCAAAAGCAAAGCTCAGGAGCCTCCTGGTTGGCTGTTGGGCTGGGGTGTGCACAGACCTGGACTGGGAGCTGGAGCCGCTGTAGCTGCTGCCGCTGCCGCTGCCGCTGCCACTGAGTGTCCGCCTGGAACACAGAGACTGGGCTCGCAGGGCCCCAGCACCACCACCGCCCTGTCATAGTCCCTGGCTGCTTGCCTGCACCCGTGGTAAATTTGGTACAGCGGTCTCCCTTCAGAAGTAGCTTTCTCTTAAATCCTGTGGGCACCTATGGGGTCCTTCTCAGCATTAAGCCCGAGGCCTGCACTCCCACAAATGCTCTCTCTCCAGGGACAGTGGTCACCCACCCTGTGCTCCAGGGACACCAAGGCTCAGCAAGCGCATGTGACCGGTGCAGGCTGCAGAGCTCGGCTTGGCCTGCTAGCCCCTGTGGCCTGGCCAGGATGCCCCTGGCTGGACTCTGGAAACTGGACTCTGGGTCTATGGCAGCACCAAGGACATGAACCCCATCCCAGCCCCATAGCCTGCTGCTCACCTCCTGGGGGGCGTCCTGGTCTGCCGCTCCTTCCTCCTGGCTTCCCGGGGATCTCCAGGCTTGGTGGGCTCCGGGGCAGGGGCAGCAGCCTTGGTGGCCTGTGGGGGCACTGGAGGAGGAGCTGGCTTCTTCAAGGACTTCTCTCTGTGGAGAGAGGGGAGCTTAGGGTGCGACTGGGCAGGATCCAGCTACCGTCCCAGCTCCTGCACCCAGGAGCTCTGAAGCATGGAGGTGACCTGTGACCTCCAGGCTGGGACATGGCTAGAGTCCAGGATCTGAGCTGGTACTGCTGCCCACCACCTGGGAAACAATGCCACCCACAGGACCACTTCCCCCAGGTACAACCAGATGGGACAGAGAAGAACGGGACCTACCCTGCTCTCCCGGGAGGTGGCGCCAGCTCCCCCTTGGCTCTGATGGAAGGTCTGTGTGGGGATGGCGTGGGGGACTGCGACGGGGACGAGGAGAAGGACCGGGACCTGGGGGTGGACAGAACGTGAGTGGCTTGCACCAGGCTGAGCCCAGCTGCAGAGGCCAGAAACTCTGTTTTATGCAGCTTTGCCATTTGCTAAAAACCCAGAGCCAAGGACACTGCCCACTTACGGGCTCCACAAGGTCCCCAGCAGGGCCCATGCGTGAGCCCACAACAGCAAGGGAATTACAACATGCCAATTTCAGCGTGCTTGTGGGGCGGCACACTAGGACAGGTGACATGCTCATGGTTCGCTGGGTGCCCTACTTCAAACCATCATGTGCCTTGCCAATTGGGGCTGGCAGCTCTGTCAATGGAGACAGAGCTGGCCAGGCCCTCAGCCCAAGAGGCCGCCTCTTAGCAGGACGCAGGCAGCTCCCGCTGAGAAAGGAGCATGCAGCAGCGCCAGCCTCATGCACGGCTCCCACCCAGGCCTCAAGAGGACAGCGTGTTGGGGTGCCCAACTGCCCGTGCCCAGGGCCCGCAGGATCAGGCCTGCTCAGTGCGGGAGGCACAAAGCAGTCCCACCCACTGGGGAGGCCGTGGTGGGAAGGGCCCAAGGCATGGGAATGGTGGAGCTGCCTCACTCAGGCGTGTCCAGAGGATCCACTCAGCACTGTGGCAGGGGCATCTGGGTGCCCCTGCAAAGCTGCACCTCCCCATTTTCCAGCCTGCTCTTCCTTCTGTAGACGTGGGGCCGGGGATACCACAGGGCTTCCCCGTGCCTTCTGCTGCCATCACTGCTATCGCCCTCAACTGCACGCCCAGAGCAAAGGTCACACACACCCATCTCCTACGGCAGGCAAGGTGACTTCTGCTGTCCACAGTTCCCCACCGGCTCGGCTTGGGGCCCTGCCAGAGGTCGTGCCGGTCTGTGT